CTTTTAAAATACAGACACTTACCTGTCCCTCGGTCCAGTGATATCCTCACCACTGCTGGTTTCACCAGCTGTCTTCTCTCCCTGGCGCCGGCATCTTCAGTGTCGGCACCTGGCTGTGACAGTTTGCGGCTTCACAGCCGGTGCCCACTGCACATGCGCTGAACTGAACAAACATGCACCAAAATTGCAGTAAGAAGGATTTTTTTTTTTCACCGCAACTGCGCAATGAATCAGTGTGAAGAGCGCCATAGGATTTAAAGGGATGCAGTTTTCTTCCACTTTTCTTATGCTTTTTTTTAAATCTGATGAATGCACCAAAAGCGGATCAGAGTGAAAGCAGCCTTATGGGGTTATTTACTAAAACTGGAGAGTGCAAAATCTGGTGCAGCTCTGCACACAAACCAATCAGCTTCTAGGTTTTCTTGTCAAAACTTATTTGAACAAGCTGAAGTTAGAAGCTGATTGGCACCCATGCATAGCTGCACCATATTCTGAGTGCTCCAGTTTTCGTAGATCTCCCCCTAAATGTCTTCATTTGGACCCAGAATTCTGCATGGAATCCACCAGGTTTGTCATAGCCTCCCTTAATCAGGGAGACATTCTGCCCTCTGTGGGTATCAAGGGCACATACCTGTGTGTCCTTCTCCTATTTCCAGCACCTCAGTAATTCCTATGCTTTGTGGTGGGTCCTCTGCCCTTCCAGTTTGTGACCCTTCCATCCAGCCTACCTTCTGCACCTTGAGTCTTCACCAAGGGTGTGACCCCTGTGCTAGCTTTACTGCATTCTCAAGGCATTCCCATTGTGGGATATATAGATGACCTCCTGCTGAGGGAACAGTCTGTTTTGGTGCACAAAGTAGCTCTTACCGCTCAGACATTTCAGAGGTTTGTCTTGTCTTGTCTTTGGTTCATACGTGATCCAAGTTTTACTAGGTGGATGTTCAGGTCTTTTCTGATGCTTCTGATGATTTCTTTGAGCATAATGCCTAGTACACACGATGAGAAAATCTGATGAAAAATACAGCTTTTGGAGTGATCATACGATAATCTGATGGTTGGTACACAGCTTTCAAAAGCCGATTATGACCGTTCATACTAAAGTATCCGAAAGGACAATCACAGAAAGTGTTCTGGTAAGATAACAGAACAAACCGTTTTTGTGTAATCTCTACAGTATTCGTCTGTTAAAAAAAAATTGTGTGACCAAGACCACACATGCTTATAAACGAAAGAATACAATACATCATTGCGGGATGTTGAATTCTGTCCTACGAGAATCTTCATAAGTTTAGTAACCTATTCATTTTCGATTTGAGACTAGCATGCAAAAAGGAAAAACGGACGATTATTCATCAGATAGTCTCGTGTGTACGAAGCATTAGGTCCTTCAGGTGGCTCTTTGAACTACAGGTAGTCTCCAGTTCCTATGGTTTGCTCACCTATCAGTTGCACTGCTTCTGGACATCCAACAGTATGTCCCCCTCAATGGATGAGAGAGAAAATATTTTTGGGTTGAGGGACACAGGGCCAGCCCCTCTCTTTCTGATCATGCTTATTTTTACTTGGTTATTCTGCCAGAAATTCACTCCTGTCCTTGGGTGAAAATGCTTATCTACTGTACTGAATCTATGAAGGAGCAGTGTTGTGACTCCACCAACCAGACAACTCCTATTCTCCATCTTCATTACATAGTGGGTGGGGGTTTGTAGTTTACAAAAAATAACTTTTACCTAACTTGTAAATTACAAAACATAATTTTTTGTTTCAGATTTCAGTTCAATTCACATGTAGTTACAAGCATACTGAACATTTGGCAGGATCTACAGATTGTTATACTTGTAGATGTACAGTAATATACCTTTAAAAAAAAAAAAGAACACTAACAAAGCCACTATATTTTATGGAATAGCATTCTACAATATATTATTTGGGTTTAGATATTGTTTTAATGGAGTGCCAACTTCATATCTCTTTTGTTAAATTCAGCTTCCACTACTAACTTGATTTCTCTTCCTCTTCTAGGACTTGGCTCACCATCGGAACATTTAGTCTTTGTTCAGGATGAAGCAGAGGACTCTGGAAATGATTTCCTGTCCAATGATTGCACAGATAGCAGCACGCCGTGGTTCCTGCGGGTTCAGGAATTGGCTCATGATAGTTTGATTGCTGCCACTCGGGCGCAATTGGCAAAGAATGCGAAGAATAGCAATAATGGTAATAACTAGTGGAGGGACCCCCTTTTTTTTTTTTTTTTTTTTTTTTTTTTTTTTTTTTATCCACGTATGTCTGATGTTAAAGCTTGGAAGTCGTCCATATGATGATGTATAGTCAAAGTCCTTTAACAGTGTTGCATCCTCACTGTGCTCGTTCCTATTCTTATACCAAATGACAAGAATGCTTCATAACAGCACTGTTATCTGTATATTTATTAGACTTGTCTTCATTGTTTTCTCTTTTTTTTTTTGTGTATTATGTAATATATATAGAGTGTGTGTATATATTTTTGTGTGTGTGTGTGTGTGTGTGTATATATATATATATATATATATATATATATATATATATATGTGTGTATATATATGTATGTATGTGTGTGTGTGTGTGTATATATATGTATGTGTGTGTGTGTGTGTGTGTGTGTATATGTATATGTATGTATGTGTATATATACACACACACATTTTAGATAGATAGTGTATGTATAGAATCTTTGTGTAGTAGTTTGTCCTTTTGGCTGGACAGCTTGGCCATTGGGTAAATATGGAAATGTAAGTTCAATAAAGAAGGGCATAATTAGCTGAATAATATACATGTTCATGCACTTATCAGAATAAAGGATTTTTCACAATACGGGTCATTTAAACTAGAGATTGGGTCTTTTGCAGTAGTGATTGAGGTTGAGGTTGGAATGTGATGGTTTTTGGACTAGGCAAAAAGTTATAAAGATCTAGACTTATGATATTTAGAATTTTCTCTTTTATTTTTCAGTTGAAATTTCACTGAATAATCTCCCAGAAATTGAACCAAAAGCTACTCCATCAGAGAAGCGTCTGCACTGCTCGTACCAGGGCTGTGACCGTGTCTTTGTGTGGCCGACACACCTGAAATACCATCTGAAAACACACAGGTAACTTTCCTGCACCAATATAGCGAGAGGAGTGCATTGGCTTTTTGTCCTTTTATATGAACACTGTCATTTGCTAAATTACAAGAGAAGCCCCAGAATTGATACCTGCGTGTCGGTCATCTCTACAGCCTGGGTGTTGGTTGTATGTTAGTGTGCTAGGAATTTAAGTAATGATCCATGGAATCTTAGTTGCTAGGTCAATTATACCAACATCGCCAGGATTCTTTCAAATGGTACATATGGAAAGATGGGGCTTTTCAGGTACATAATATTGAGAATCCGTTAACTGGTTTTGGTTAATAATCAATATATAATCATTTCAAAATATCAAGTCCAGATAGAGACGCTGTATTGAACAAAAACCACATCCACCAATCTGGTGATCTGAGATGCGTTCTGTGATCCCTATCTGAGGAGCTCTGAGCTGGCAACCTTTTATCACTCTGTTTGGGGAGAACTGAAGCATACTTAGTACAATGATGGGGTATCCAATTCTGTACACATTTCTTAGACCACAGGTCTATTTCATCAGGATAAATGGAGGTAAAGAGCTCTGAAATATGCATTATAACTTTGTAAGTGTACTTTCTTGCAAAACTCTTTTTAGCAAGCTTCTCATCTGGAGTAATCTGTTTGTTTTTATACTATTTTGTGTTACAGAAGTACACAGAGAACGTACATTTATTGTTGTTATGTTAGAGATTAATGCCATAACGTGTATTTCCACTTTTTGCAGCCAGAAAGTGTGATATTGTATTTCCAATCTCTTACCTCCATTTCCCCCGATTGAAGTCCACTTTTGGTCTAAGAAAGAATGGGATACCCCATTGGTTGTTTGAATTTTGTATGAATACTGAATGTTGTATATATTTGGAATTACTCCTTCTTTTTTTTTTTTTTTTTTTTTTTTTTTTTTTTCTTTTTTTTTGTTTTAATTATTATTATTACTCAGGAGGTTGTTCAGATACTGTGATGTACACAGTTTAACAGTAATTTTAATTGATATTTTGAAATAAACCAATACATTAATTTTAACCAAAACTAGCCAATTGATTTTTGACAATATGTACCTGAAAAGTCCCATCTTTTCCTTATACATGATTTCATGGTGTGCCATAAATTTGTGATCTTTTTATTCCTTAACAGAACGGCTCCTAAACTTCGTAGCAGATATCCCCTCTTGCTTGCATTAGCATAGATGTTTTCTTCTTGTTTGATTAGATAAAGATATACTGTTGCATAAAAGACTGCAAGCCAGACTATATAGTTTACAGGAAACATTCCAAGTGTGCTTCCCCCCCCCCCCCACCCAGTCCCTGCTAAATGCATACTTACCTTGAAATTATGGCCTTCAGGGTTTTATCCTGCTAGGAGATCTTCAGTGTGCTGGCTTTGCTTGCCAAGCATATCCTGTCTCAAGAGATGAGCCTAGACAACCCTATGAAAAGCAACTGTACAGGTGTAGACAGCACATGGAAGAGGTTGGCAGTGGGATGTAAAACAAACCCGGGTGGTCACAGGAATAATTACAAGGTAAGTATGCTTCCAGGGAGGTGGGCTAGGTTAGCACAGTGGGGGGGGGGGGGGGGGAAGCTATAAAATAGCCTAAAGGCTGAATGTATTAATTCAAATATCCATATCAGTCCAAATATTAGACAGATTTCACTGTAAATCCTAGCTAAATCTCATCTGAGATGTGTCCTGTGATCTGAGGAGGAGATCTGAGCTGGCAACCTTATCACTCTGCTTGGGGTGAACTGACTCCCCGCCTCACTGCTCCTATCTTTTTGTTTTCAGGAATGACCGCTCCTTTACCTGTCCAGCAGAGGGCTGTGGGAAGAGTTTTTATGTTCTTCAGAGGTTAAAAGTCCACATGCGCACTCATAATGGAGAACGGCCATTCCTGTGCCCAGAAACTGGCTGCGGGAAACAGTTCACAACAGCTGGAAACCTGAAGAACCATCTCCGCATTCACACTGGTGAGTGGTGGCAGCGGCCGCTAAATCTAGGCTTGTGGTTGACTGTTTTACTGATGATTTGTCTTCTCTCAGGAGAGAAGCCATTTGTGTGTGAGATGGAGGGGTGTGGCCGATCGTTTGCCGAGTATTCCAGCCTGCGTAAACATCAGGTCGTCCATTCAGGTAAAGACTTTCTATGACCCTTATGTCTGAGTTATGGTATTAGCTGTCTGTATGTGACACTGTTTGGCCAATGATAGTTTTTATCCTCAGTAGCCACTGTTTGGCCAATAGAATAAATAGGAAAATTCTGCTTAAATATGTAACTGTATTGTAGCCTGTTATTGTGTGGATTGCATCCTTCACATGCAACTAATCCATGTCTTTGGAAGATATGATTTTCTTTTGCCAGCCTTCTCACATATAGAGTCCATGTAGCGTAGACCTCTCCGTTCTATAGAGCATTACAGCAGGTAATAGGGTGAAGCATCTCACATTGTGTGTGCCCTTCCTTTTTAAATATTAGAGTAACCTGTTAAAAAAAGCACGTCTGATGCAGGATTTGCCAATATACTTTGTACCTACTAAGCCAAACCTCTGACCTTCACGTACTTCATTTTGTAACCAGAAGCAGCCATTGTATGTGCACACTGTGATAAGGCTCCTGCTTATATGTGCTGGGCAGGTGTGAAGTCTCACCAGTGTCCCATCTGTGGGAAGAACTTTTCCCAGAGTGGAAGCCGGAATGCTCATGTAAAAAAGCATCACTCCGGAAAGCTGCAAGGTAGGTGCTGCGTCCTGGAAAGCTGTAAGGTAGGTGGTCATCCTGAAAAGCTGTAAGGTAGGTGGGCCTCCTACAATCCTCATGGGTTATGCTTGTAATGGGGGGAAGTTGGGTTTATAAGTTGCATAGCTGTGCACAGAATAGTTACCTATCATGTTACATACAGTCCATTTTGGATTGAGAAGTTTTGCAGATATCAACAGGAAAAGTCCAGTTTGGATTTTCAGGATTTACTTTCTTATTTCAGAAAACCGTAGAATGGAGGAGCATCTCCAGCTGAGTGAAGACACCTTACAGGACTCTTCTCTGCTCTCTGTGTCATCAGACAGACACTCCTATGAAGAGGATGTCTCCATTTTGCTTAGCTAAAAACACTGACATAACTCTCTGTAATTGGTTTTGCTGCGCACATGGAAATAATATATTGAAAAGATCAAGAACTGTCTGAGGAACCAAGTCTTGGACTTTGACTGGCTCTGGAAAAACTGATAAACTGAAGTCCTGCAGAGTATGGGGATGCAAGGAACATTCACCTCTGTAAAGGAAAATCACTTAATGTATGGACAGAATCCAGGCCCTCACGTCTTCCGAAACATGACAGTCTGTAAAAGCACATTAAATGTGAACCCCCCCCTTCCACCCCCTGCTACTAATTTGGTAAAATAAACTCTTTCCTGGCAATGGTTTCATAGGTCAGTAAAGTGGTGTAATTAAATCATACCACTGCCATCCTAGGAATAGGTCACATCATAACTCTGGAAACTATAATAAAATTACTTTTATTTTATATCAAGCAGCTGTATATAATCTAGAGCAACATTTTTTTGTATTGGCTGTAAAATCCTTTTCCTGGAGCCCATTGAGGGATATTGTCTTTTGACAGTTGCCTGCAAGAGTACTGGACATTGGCAAACAAAAAATGTTGGCCTGCCAGTTTTGCAGCAATAGGAGGGGGGTAATGGGGAACCTGTGTCCCTTAATGGAGTCCAAGAAACAGATTTTATGTTGAGTACAAAAATCCCATTTCGCTCCTGTCCATTGAGGGACACAGAAATTCAGATACTGTTGGGTTATAGTGCCACCTACAGAAGGACTGGACACTGGCAAACAAAAAGAATCAGAGGCTAGTCCAGGATGACCCCTTCTCTACCCAGCATGCCTCAGCTTTTTTGCTAGTGTTCTAGGAGGATGGATTAATTTTCTTCAGTTTTGCTGAGAAATGTCTAACCACCATTGCTAGCCCTTTTTCTCTTCAATTTAATTCTCTATGGATTCACTTCTTTCACTGACTTCACTCCAGAATTACAAGGATTGTATCAGACCTAATTGACGCAGTGAATGCTACCCTGCAGTTGGAGGATCAGTCTACAATGTCCTTTTCACTACACCTGCTTTTTGAGTTAATCTTCTATATGGACTGCAGAGCACCCTGAAGAATCCTGGGCCCAACCTGAAAGTATGTTGGAATTCCCTTTTGAGAGCGAATTTAATAAAACATTGGGTATACCCACTATGTTTATGCCAGTGAACCACATTAACAGGAAAAGCACTAGGCCTTGGGAGGCTGTGTTTGCCTTTATATCTGTTTTCTCTGCAGGTTCTGTCCTCTGTTGATCTTAATTTGTCAAACATGGCAGAATGAATGAAATCCCTTTTTAAAATTAAAAAAAAACCAAAACCTTCCACTGATGGGGTAATCCCCTTCCCAACAGCGTGTGTGGATGCATGTTGGAAGCATCTAAAAGTTTATCTTGTGTGGGTTTGAGGTTCATCCATATGCACCGAGCAGTCTGAGAGCCAGGAAAGCTCAAGCTGTATCAAAGGAATGCCTGACTTGCTTGGTCTTTGAGGGATGCAGTTTCTTCAATCTTAATGTTGACACCATGATCAAGAATTCTGTGGAGAGCCAGAGCATAACCTACCTTCGCTTTAAGACATTCAAAGAAGTTAGCGAGGTCCCAGCCGTCTTCTGCAGTCAGTTCATCTAGGCCTGCTAAACCCAACTCTCAGCCCATTAGAAGGGGAAGCAAACCAACCAAACCCTCGACATGAGAGTGTGCCTCCATGTTTATGAGTGAGGGGATGTTGCTAGGACTTGTGGGTCCCTTTTAGTTCTAAGACTAATCCTCCTGTCTCTGGTACTCTTTTGCTACTCACCCTCTTCCCCTTCTGTGCAGAAATGAACAAACCTTCCCCCACTCCTTTTGGGGTCTCTTCTACCTATAAATTTTACCTCGAGTCATGGTGGAGCTTTGTCCTTTCCTGATCACCTTCCTCTCTCCTTGGGAGAGCCTCACCCCTCAGGACATGTAAGTCCTCAATAGTGCATGATATTCCCCAGGGTCTCTCCTCTCCCTCGCTAGAGGAACCCCGTGACCTGCTTAAGCATGCCTCTGCATGCCTGGTAACTTCCAGACTGAGATTTATATGTTTGCCCTAGTTCTTTTTCTTGGCATCCCCCTATTGGGATACTCCAGTTGACCTTCCATCAAGAAAACAGTCACCAAGGGCTTGGATGGACAGTTTTTCTCTGAAGGGCTACACACCTGCAAGATCTGGATGGGTCTTACTTCATCAGGTTTGGGCATTGCAAGCTGCCGATCAGCTGTCCTTGTCCACCTTAGAACTGCAGTGGGGGGTCCACAACAGGGTTACTCTCGTCCCTTTATCTTCTGTCAAGGAGTTACCTAGCTCTCCTCTTCCAGGAGAATCGTGTTATGGAGCACCTCTCTGTACTTTTCCTCCACTAAGTCCTTCTCCGCCCCATTACTTTGTGGTCAGGGGTGGGCTGACCATATGGAAACTTGGGCACTGCCCGGGGGTCAGTAGGGGGCCCCATGAGATGCCCCTGGTACCTTATTCATAGGCTTTTTTTGAGTTTGGGCAAGGACACAGGGGCCCCATGATCCTCTATTGCCCGGGGACCCCATGAGTTGTCAGTCCGCCCGTTTGTGTTTGTAGATTTAGTTTCTGAGCAGACTAGTGTGTTTGACCCTAAGGATCAGATAGTCCCATGCTGATGAAGGCATAGCAGGGTTTTTTTCTCAGACCTTGCGGGTGGTCCGAGAACCAGGTATTTGGAGGACTAGACTTGCTAACTCCAGAAGTAAACCAATAAAAGAGAGGAGACTTTACAAGTTAGCCCCGCATGTCCAGTGAGGTCTGTTCATGGCACTTCAAAAGCCATGCTGAGGACAGGCCATGCTGGATAGCTGCAATCTTAGTAACACCTCTAACAACAATATAATGATGAGTCTTGTGTGAAGAAAAACAGAGGACAAAAAAAAAAAGCTATCAAAGCCATAGGTTAGTCTTTTAAAATGAGAGCTGAATGAAAGGTGTCCATCTTCCTAGAAAACTAGCAAAAAACTGATCTGGTAATGGGAAGGATTATGAAGTGAAGCAAAAAAGAGCGCACCAACCTTGCGCATTACCTCAGTAAACTATGAATTTATTAAGTAAAAAATATATCTTTACAAACAAGGAAGTATAACAAGCATAAACAGATCCTCAAAGGAAATTGAAGTGTAGAGCCAGTGTGAGTCACATCATGAGGGTAGACTCTCAAAGTGAGGTTGACGCGTTTCGAAGGGGGACCCTTCTTCATCAGAGCTAACAGCACAATGAGTGCCCTCCACCATAGGTCTGATGAAGAAGGGTCCCCCTTCGAAACGTGTCAGCCTCACTTTGAGAGTCTACCCTCATGATGTGACTCACACGGGCACTACACTTCAATTTCCTTTGTTTATGCTTGTAATACTTCGTGTGTGTGTGTGTGTGTGCGTGTGTTATATATATATATATATATATATATATATATATATATATCTATATATATATCGGGCTTCCCCAACCTTTTAGTGCTGCACAACCTGCCATGCATTTATGGAACTGTTTCAAGGAATTCTTTCACCTTTCCACCCTTGTTTTGAATCCTAGAGCGCAGGAGGTTTTGTTTCGGTTTCAACGGGAAGGATTATCCTGGTCTGGTCTACATTTTATTTCTTTTTTTTTGCCAGTGTCTATAGTTCTCCTGTATGTGGCTTTATAACCTGAAGGTGAAAGACTTCCTGTGTCCTCAATGGATGAGAAGGAAAATAGATTTACAAGGAAAACATTGATTTGTCAAAATGTGTCAACACTAACTCTACTTTTAAAGTGGAACTGTCAGTAACTTTACAGGTCAGTGTGAATAAATTGTAACATTGTCAAATGCAACAACAGTTTTATTAAAAACAACTGGACTTTTATTCTTACAAAGCAGCAGCCCCTGGGCTCCGCTCTAGTGACTTATGCGTATCTGTAGTCAAAATTTAAAATCCTATATTAATTTGCACATTGTGTTTCAATTCATTCTAGTCTACTAATCTGAAAACTCCTGAAGTTTGTAAAATTTGTAGAGAGACCCTTGAGTAGCCACTGCTGTGACACACATTTCACTGAGCCTGCTTTCTGAACTACAGAGGAGCTGACAAGGAGGAATTTCAGGAGGCGGAGTCAGTACAGGTACAAGCAGTGCTTACAGGCAGAAAGGTACCATGGGATATGTAGTCCTTAGAAATTGAAAGGGAGCAGAGGTAAGTCGTGAAAAGACATGGCTAGCAGACAGGTAGCACTCACAACCTGAAAGCAGATTTTTCAGGTAAGCTTATATTGGATAGTCAAAAATAATTGTATTGATATTACAATTATGATATGATAAAATAACTATAGCTGTCCTTTAACCAAGGCCTGAGAAGAAAATCCTGGGAAAATGTTGGCTGCAGACAGAAGGAAGCATATCTTCAGGCTCCCCTCCCTCAGTGATCGCTCACTGGGACTGTACATTATAACTCCCCAGCAAGCATGCTGATCAGGGGCGGACTGACCATTTGGAAACTCAGGCACTGCCCGAGGGCCCAGGGTCAGTAGGGGGCCCCATAAGATGCCCCTGGTACCTTTTTCATAGGCTTTTTTGAGTTTGGGCAAGGACACAGGGGCCCCATGTTCCCCTATTGCCCGGGGGCCCCATGAGTTGTCAGTCCGCCCCTGATGTTGATATATATAAAACAATCTGTATACACAGCCAACATGATTTACCCGATGTGCCATCCATCAGTCAGCTTTTCAAGATGAAGTAGATTTTGATGCTGGATGATGCCTGCACAAACAATGACACTGCTTCTTTGGATGGGAGGTGAAGGGGAGGGTATAGACATTCTCAGTGATGTGATCATATCTGCATGCGTACACTTGTCCTGATTATCTAGCATGAATATACTAATTATATCATTCTAAAGCTAGGTTCTCTTTAAATATATTCTGGTGTCCTATTTTATAAATGTTTCGTGTTACCTGGCCAGCATAGAATCGGCGGCAAGTTTACATCCACTGGCTCTGGGTGTTAGCACCCATATCCCCCACCCCAGACTGCTGTGGAACAATTGACCTGTCTAGATTACTTTTACCTTTTATCTTACCCTCTGATTATGGTAGGTGGTCACAGGTTACATAGCTGCGGTACAGAAATCTTGGGAAGGGGGTCCTATGTTTCACAGCAGACAGTATTTTAGGGGAGGGTGTCACATGTTACACAGCAACTTCTTGCCTAGCTGGGCAACTCCGTCATGGATCTTCATCATCTTGGTGCTCACTTTCGTCTGTCATTTCTTCATTTTCAATTCCCTTCTGCTGAACAAACTCCTCAGTCAGTCCTGCCTGTCGAAGGGTGTGAGTGAATTTACGCTCTGCTTCTTTAACTGCAGATCCCTGGAGGCAGAAAGCAAAGACTGGCAGTTCATGCTGATAAGGGATGGATGGAGGATAGAGGTGATTGTCCTGCATCACATGGTACTGGACTAACCGTTCCTTCCCATTTACCTTGGAGACTTGTTCAAATAGATACGCCCTCCTTCTCACCCGGCTCTTCATCTGTTCCAGCTCCTTCTCATATTCTTGACTTCTTTTCTGATCAGACGCTCTGCAAAGACATCTCCACTGTAACTAGGGATGCCCTGACATCGGTATTGTTGCTGATACTGAGTATTTTCACGAGTACTGAAAATGCTACTGATACCTAAAACTGATACTTAGCGATGCGATTTGCGTCAATGGATGCAAATTGCATAGCATGCAATTTGAACAGGAATGTGGTATGATTCCTGTCCAAATTGCATGCTTTTTCAGCACTGCTCCTGTGTGAACCCAGGCTTGTCATAGCTTGAGTTCACACAGGAGCATGCAGGAAACCTCCCTGCATCTATCCCATGCTAAGCGGAGAGTGGAGATGTATACCTGGTGGCAGATGCTCCGTATTCTCAGCTGTAAGAGAGGAGAGAAAACAGGGATTTGAAATCCCCCCCCCCCCCCCCCCCCCCCCCCCCCATTTTCTCCTCTCTCTGCAGGGATGACAGTTCGGCTAGAGGGCTTTGATTGGTCAGCAACATCACATGGACAGTGCTGACCAATGAGAAGCAGTCTAGACTGTACTGTCATCCTTGGAAGGAGAGGAGAGAAAGCAGCAAGGATTTAAAATCTCCAGACCTGTGAAGCAGCCTTCTCTCCTCTCCTTGGAGAGTGGAGATGTATACCTGGTGGCAGATGCTCCGTATTCTCAGCTGTAGGAGAGGAGAGAAAACAGGGATTTGAAATCCCCCCTGATTTCTCTCCTCTCTTTGCAGGGATGACAGTTCGGCTAGAGGGCTTTGATTGGTCAGCACCATCACATGGACAGTGCGACCAATCAGAAGCAGTCTAGCCTGTACTGTCACCCTTGCAAGGAGAGAAGAGAAAGCAGCGAGAATTTCAAATCTCCAGACCTGTGAAGCAGCTTTCTCTCCTCTCCTTGGAGGGATGACAGTACAGGCTAGGAGCCTTCTGAATGGTCAGCACTGTCCATGTGATGGTGTTGACTAATCAAAAGCCCTCTAGCCTGAACTGTCATCCCTGCAAGGAAAGGAGAGAAAGCTGCGCGGATTTCAAATCCCCAGGCCTGGGAAGCGGCTTTCATTCCTCTACTGCAACTGGGAACATGGAGCATCTGCCACCAAGTATACATCACCACATGCCCTTCTCTGCTGCGGGAAACCTCCCTACACCGCTCTTGTGTGAGCTCAGGCTATGATAAGCCTGGATTAACACAGGAGCACCGGTGAAACAGCATGCGTTTTGGACCAGAATCGCATGCTATTCTTTGCAGTGCAGTCTGCTTTCATATGTTTTTTGTATTGACATAAATCACACTGAAAGCGTCAGTACTTGTACTTACAGATCAATTGGTGCATCTCTAACTGTAACCATTACGCTGGACTTCTCGTTACAAGATGGCATTGATAGTGTTAGGGTTTGGAGCATTACAAGGTTTAGTTGCCATTGGTTAGGTATGTACTCAACATTACAAAGTGGAGATGGTAGTGTTCAGGTATGGATTCATTACAAAGTGGAGATGGTAGTGTTCAGGTATGGATTCATTACAAAGTGGAGATGGTAGTGTTCAGGTATGGATTCATTACAAAGTGGAGATGGTAGTGTTCAGGTATGGATTCATTACAAAGTGGAGATGGTAGTGTTCAGGTATGGATTCATTACAAAGTAGAGTCGGTAGTGTTCAGGTATGGATTCATTACAAAGTAGAGTCGGTAGTGTTCAGGTATGGATTCATTACAAAGTAGAGTCGGTAGTGTTCAGGTATGGATTCATTACAAAGTGGAGTCGGTAGTGATCCGGGAGCTAGAGTTTATGGTGTTCAGGACTGGACTCATCATTACAAGGTTAAGTTGGTAGTGTTCAGGTATGGACTTGTTTTTGCAAAGCGGGGTTTGTGGAGTTGGTAGTTTTTTAGGTATGGACTAATTTTTACAAGGTGGGGTTGGTAGTGTTCAGTATGGAATCACCTCTTTGTTCTCTGTTACTCTGTGGGGAAGTTTTACTAAAGCTGGAGCACTCAGAATCTGGTGCAGATGTGCATGGTAGCCAATCCGCTTCTAACTTCAGCTTGTTCAAATAAAGCGGTTGTAAAGGCTGCAGCATCTCCCCCAGCCCCCCCCACCCCCCTAATACTCACCTAAGCCCCCTCTCGATCCAGCGCTGTGCACTGGAGTCTGTTATCCCAGGACTCTTCCTCCTCATTAGCTGAGACAGCAGCGGGAACCATTGGCTCCTGCTGCTGTCAATCACAGCCAGTGAGCCAATGAGAAGGGAGAGGTGGCAGGGTGAAGCAGCAGCTCCATGTGGGAATGCTTGCTATGGGGGCACCAGGCAGGAGGGAGGGGCCAGAAGCGAAGGCAGGGGAACAGAGAAAAGGAGGATCAGGGCTGCTCTGTACAAAACCATTACACAGAGCAGGTAATTATGACGTTTGTTATTTTTTTTTAAATGCCTTTTACTATCACTTTTTAAGCTTTGACAATAAAACCTGGAAGCTGATTGGTTTCTATGTGGAGCTGCACCATATTTTGCACACTCCAGTTTTAGCGAATCTCTCCTTGTGTGTCAGGTGACTTTCCTTGTATCAGGCCTGAACCACAGCACAACTTTCACTCTCATTCTGCTGGGAAATGTAACCATTAAAGGAAAGGAGTGGTGCACTGATAGAAACAGACTTGGTTCAGTGCTTTAAGGCAAAAAAGAAAAAGTTTTTAAAAGTCCAAACGGTGTCAGTGTGATTGACTCAATGGCTGCCGCTGCTGAAGAGCTAAAAGGGACTCTGCATTGGGACAGACAGAAAAGAAGAGCAGCACCATTCTAAGTTTAGCATTAAAGTGTTATTTATTTGGAAACAACAAAATGGCAACTTGCAGTGTAATGGAGATAAAAGCTCTCATCTAGTTGTGTAACACCGCTGCAACAAGCCGGTCCAGTCCCACTGATTCTGCTGTGGTGGATGCCGAAAGCAGCTCCTGGCAGTTCTGGTGGCTCCCAGAACTTCCTCTGGGAATCAGTGGGACTGAATGGCTTGTTGCATGGCTAGATGAGCACTGTTTGCTCCATTACACTGCGAGTCGCCAATTTGTTGTTTCCAAATAAATAACGCTTTGATGCTACACTTAGAACAGCGCTGTTCTCCTTTTTCCGTTTGTCCGAAATTTACCATTTGCTGGCAGTAAGCCCCCCTACAGCACACTGACATCAGATGCGCTGAATGCTATATAAAACAACTTACCGGTTCTCTCTCAGCTTCTGCACGTTCGTGTCTGCCAGTGGTTTATGTGGATCCATAGCTTTGGCACGGCGGGAGATGGAGCGTTGCATGCCCTGAGATCTTTGTCTATGTTTCTGCAGCCACTTTTCCTGTTCTGCACCCTTGTGCTCCCTGTCTTGTAGTGAAGATCTGAAATACATTTCTAGAAACATAAACACTATATTCATCAAAGAATAGGTCCCTGCCTCTGCTGGTATTTCTATTTCTACAGCTCTCACATCTCTTCACATTTAGATGTTACGTGGGTTTACAGCTGGAACAGAATGAGAAAAATGACTCTCCCACTCCCACCTTGTGATACCTGATGGATGCTTCCCTCCTCTTAGTGCTGTCTGTTATGTACACTGGCAGGGTGTTGGGGGACAAACTAGACAAATGACGGGAAGGTGTGACAGGGTGTTGATCTTCATCCTGCAGATACAGAAAGAGAAGGTAACCATGGGGGACATTTACTAAAACTGGGGCATGCAAAATCTGGTGCAGCTCTGCAGAGAAACCAATCAGCTTCAAGGTTTTATCGAGCAAGCTGAAGTTAGAAGCTGAATGGTTGCCATGCACAGCTGTACCGGATTCTGAACGCTCCAGTTTTAGTAAATCTCCCCCGTTGCATCATGCTGCCAGGCGATCTAGAGTACACAGTATATGAGGTGAAGCGCCACATCTTACTATTGTACAAAGCAATATAAGAAAAAAAATGTATTATTAGTTATGAGTACCCCAGCTGGACCCCATCTACAGTTGTGAATGGTTACAAGGGGGGGTGTGTAAGGTTGCTGGAGCAGAGTGTGCGTCTAGAGTGCCTCCTCCCCTGACATGCTGTTCACCCTCTATTCATTTACACCCCACACTGCTGTCAGCAGTCCTTTAGCTGTATATTGTACCGTATGTCTGCAGACACCAGCCTATAGAGGGAGCCGCTACTCCTCATTTCCTAAGCTCTGCATCAACTACACTTGCAGAGTGCACAGTCTATTTGCCTTTAGTAAATCCACCCCAGTGTCTCTCTGTGGGTGAGGACAGCTGGAGGATGAAGGTTTAGGACAGAGAACTAAGACTGTATTTTTACTGTCATCAATTTTTTTGTATTCTATGGGTCAATTCTTTTATTAAAACCTATTTGGAAGATACGTGAGGGTTGTTTGTCTTGGGTATGTGGACTAAGTAATATTTTCAATACTCCAATACTATACTTTATCACAATGCCCAGACACTAGGCTGTACAGGGACTACCCCGAGTCACCTAGGTTCCAGACATCAGACTGTGCAGGGATTACCCCTAGTCACCTAAATTCCAGACATCAGACTGTACAGGGACTACCCCTAGTCACCTAAATTCCAGACATCAGACTGTACAGGGACTACCCCTAGTCACCTAGGTTCCAGACATCAGACTGTGCAGGGATTACCCCTAGTCACCTAGGTTCCAGACATCAGACTGTGCAGGGATTACCCCTAGTCACCTAGGTTTCAGACAGACTGTACAGGGATTACCCCTAGTTACCTAGGTTCCAGACATCAGACTGTACAGGGATTACCCCTAGTTACCTAGGTTCCAGACATCAGACTGTACAGGGACTACCCCTAGTCACCTAAAATTCCAGAAATCAGACTGTACAGGGACTACCCCTAGTCACCTAGGTTCCAGACATCAGACTGTGCAGGGACTACCCCTAGTCACCTAAATTCCAGACATCAGACTGTACAGGGATTACCCCTAGTTACCTAGGTTCCAGACATCAGACTGTACAGGGATTACCCCTAGTTACCTAGGTTCCAGACATCAGACTGTACAGGGATTACCCCTAGTCTCCTAAATTCCAAACATCAGACTGTACAGGGACTACCCCTAGTCACCTAGGTTCCAGACATCATACTGTACAGGGACTACCCCTAGTCACCTAGGTTCCAGACATCAGACTGTGCAGGGATTACCCCTAGTCTCCTAAATTCCAAACAGACTGTACAGGGACTACCCCTAGTCACCTAGGTTCCAAACATCATACTGTACAGGGACTACCCCTAGTCACCTAGGTTCCAGACATCATACTGTACAGGGACTACCCCTAGTCACCTAGGTTCCAGACATCAGACTGTACAGGGACTACCCCTAGTCACCTAGGTTCCAGACATCATACTGTGCAGGGACTACCCCTAGTCACCTAGGTTCCAGACATCAGACTGTGCAGGGACTACCCCTAGTCACCTAGGTTCCAGACATCAGACTGTGCAGGGACTACCCCTAGTCACCTAGGTTCCAGACATCAGACTGTGCAGGGACTACCCCTAGTCACCTAGGTTCCAGACATCAGACTGTGCAGGGATTACCCCTAGTCACCTAGGTTCCAGACATCAGACTGTGCAGGGATTACCCCTAGTCACCTAGGTTCCAGACATCAGACTGTACAGGGACTACCCTTGTAAAACTGTGCAGGGCTGGCTATTGTCACCTCATACTAAGCCACCAGGCTGTACGGGGACTGGCATTGGTCATGTTCTACCCAGACACCAGGTTGTACAGAAGCTGCCTATGGACACCTAAGACCCAGACACCAGACTATAAAGAAAATAGTTTTAGTAACCTTTTGCTCAGCCATCAGGCAGTACAGGCACTGGCTCTGGTTACACTATAGCCAGACATAAGCCGTAAAGGGACCAGCTGTGGCCACCTAACATCCAGACACCAGATGTTTAAGGACCCAGCTCTGGTCACTTTATGCCCAGACACCAGTCTGTAAAAGGGCAAGCTGTGGTCACCTTATACCCAGAGCAGGCTGTATAGAAGCTAACTGTGGTCACCTAATAATCAGGAAATTAGGCTTCAGAGGCCCTAGATACAGTCTCACCTGTTCACTCTCGGAGTGGCTTGGTTTCTTTCTGTGTTGCTGACGGGATGTGCGTAAATTGAAGGGTTTTGTCTGTGTAGGTTCTCTGACTTGTTGCCTAGACAGAGAGAGTTTCTGAAAGTTCCTGTAAAGTGCATGGAAGTCTGGGATGGCTGGGTTTGTGCGCGGCTGGAAACTGAGACTCTGTTGTAGGAAAGCGAGGTGCTGCTGTTGACATTTCAGAGACGTTCTGAATTTGGGGTCTCTGGTGTGACGAGTTAGAGTTACTGGAGCGGTGGAACTCTGCAGCAAATCCTTTGCTCTTAACTGACTGTTAATCTTTCTTAGAAGTTCTGCTTCTGCAATAGAAACCAGATATATTTACATTCAGAAACCTGAAATGCCATTCTTATCACTATAACATTATATCTCCACACATCCCAACACCAGCCTTCCTCTATAGAAACCAATATCCCAGGGTATAAAGCTATCCCCTCTACATCCCAGATCCCATAAACCAGCTTCTATGGAGACCAAAGCCCCAGGTTATAATATCCAGCCTCCTCTACTCCTCAAATGTAATACTGTGGCCAGTACAGAACGTTAGGGTATGATATCATCCCTATCAATTCGTCAGATCATATACACAAGCTACTATAGAGCCTAGTACGCCAGAGTATAATAGCCTGCCCCCCTTCACTCCCATATGCAATACAGTGGTGTCTATAGAGCTCAACACCCTGAGTATAATACCCTTCTTTTCTGCTCCCCAATACCCCAGGATATAATACTCTACCCCTCTGCTCCTCAGGTCTAATACACAAGCATCTATAGAGCCCAATACCCAAGGATATAATACTCTACTCCTCAGGTCTAATACACAAGCATCTATAGAGCCCAATACCCCAGGATATAATACTCTACCCCTCTGCTCCCGAAGTCTAATACACAACCATCTATAGAGCCCAATACCCCAGGATATAATAATCTACCCCTCTGCTCCCCAGGTCAAATACACAAGCATCTATAGAGCCCAATACCCCAGGATATAATACTCTTCCCCTCTACTCCTCAAGTTAAGTACATAAGCATCTATACACCCCAATACCCCAGAATATAATACTCTACCCCTCTGCTCCCGAAGTCTAATGCACAAGCATCTATAGAGCCCAATACCCCAGTATAATAATCTACCCCTCTGCTCCCCAGGTCAAATATGCAAGCATCTAGAGAGCCCAATACCCCAGAATATAATACTCTACCACTCTGCTCCCCAAGTCTAATACCCCAGGATATAATAATCTACCCCTCTACTCCCCAGGTCAAATACATAAGCATCTATACAGCCCAATACCCCAGGATATAATACTCTACTCCTCTGCTCCCCAGGTCTAATACACAAGCATCTATAGAGCCCAATACCCCAGGATATAATACTCTTCCCCTTTACTCCCCAGGTCAAATACATAAGCATCTATACAGCCCAATACCCCAGGATATAATACTCTTCCCCTCTGCTCCCCAGGTCAAATACATAAGCATCTATACAGCCCAATACCCCAGGATATAATACACTGCCCACTACAGTATGTATCCCAGGACTAAAGTATAAACTCTGCAACACTATTGCCAGATATCATACACTTTATAAAGTCCAATAATACTAGGGTACAGTACCCTGCCCACTCCAACTCCTGGATCAAATACACTAGCCTCCAAGGAGCCAAAAAAAAAAATCCCAAGGTATAATACCCTGCCCCTCTACTTCCTGTATCCAATACAGTATCCTCCATAGAGCCCACAAATCCAAAGGTATAATAGCCTATGGCTGGGCTTACAACTGTAGAATTTCTTTTAAAAGATGTTGTTTTCAGAACATTTATCCAATTACCTAAGAGTTAAAGGGGACCAGTCAACAATCTGTTTCAACCAGAGCAAGCATAAAAAAAAAACAACAAATGAGAAGGATGGAACATTTTTTTTTTACTCTAATGGGAACAAATTAATTTCATTCTATGAAAATTGAGACATTGACATGGTAGTCAAACAAAAAGTCATTTGAAATGAGTCCAGTCTATGAAGGGACCACCGGATAGTCAGTCAAGCAATTTTTACACTTTCTAATTCGGCCAAAATTCTCCAAGTATTAGGCCAGCTTAACTCTCTACTCATCATATCTAATACAATAGCCTCTGTAGCGCTCAATACCCCAGAGTATAATACCCTGCCCCCGCTACTTCCTATATCTTATACAATAGCCTATATAGAGCCCAATATCCGGAGATATAATACCTCACCCCTCTACTCCCCAAATACATTCCTGAAAACCCTGGGTATAATACCCAACCTCTCTGCTCACTGGATCCTAGAGAGTAGTGTCTACAGAGCCCAATATCCCTTGGTAAAATACTCAGCCCCCACTGCTCTATGGACCCTCTATGTTAGCACACTACGTTCCATTGAGACTCCCTGAAATGGTTTAATCTGAATGAAATTCTACAGGTATAAGGCCAGCTTAACTCCCTACTCCTCAAATTTATTACAATAGCCTTTATAGATCCCAATACCCCGAGGTATCATACCTCACCCCTCTACTCCCCAGATCCAATACAATAGTCTCTCTAGAGTCCAAAAACCCTCGAGTATCATAGCCTGCCCCTCTACTCCCCAGATCTAATACAATAGCATCTATAGAACCCATTACCCCAGGGTATAATACCTCATCCCTCTACTTCCCAGATCTAATACACAAGTGTTTCTAAAACCCAATACCCCAGGGTATAATACCCTGCCCCCTCTACTCCCAGATCTAATAAACTAGCATCTCTATAGCCCAATACCCCAGGTTATAATACCTCACCCCTCTACTCTCCAGAGTATCATAGCCTGCCCCTCTAGTCCCCAGATCTAATACACTAGTGTCTCTAAAGCCCAATACCCCAGGGCATGATACCCTACCCCTCTGCTCCCCAGGTCTAATAAACTAGCATCTATAGAGCCCAATACACCAGGGTATAATACCTCACCCCTCTACTCTCCAGAGTATCATAGCCTGCCCCTCTAGTCCCCAGATCTAATACACTAGTGTCTCTAAAGCCCAATACCCCAGGGCATGATACCCTACCCCTCTGCTCCCCAGGTCTAATAAACTAGCATCTATAGAGCCCAATACACCAGGGTATAATACCTAACCCCTCTACTCTCCAGAGTATCATAACCTGCCCCTCTACTCCCCAGATCTAATACACTAGTGTCTCTAAAGCCCAATACCCTAGAATATAATGCCTTCCCCCCTCTACTTCCAGATCCAGTACACTAGTGTCTCTAAAACCCAATACCCCAGGGTATAATGTCTCGCTCCTCTACTCCACAAATGTATAAGCCTCTACTAAGGACAAAACCCTGGGTATAATATCCAACCTCTCTATTCACTGAATGCACCAGAGCAGCCTCTATAGATCCCAATATTTCTGCATTTATTACTTAGCCCCCACTGTTCTATGGGCCCCAATGTTAGCACACAACATTCTTGAGTAACCACTACAGCAGACTGGAGAGTGCAGAAGGAACATTACCTCTAAGCTGATCACTGACAGTTGGGTCCAGGACAGATTTGGGAATGGGTTTGATGACACTCTGGGTTTTTTGGGCCGGGGCTGTCACTGGCCGCTCAAATGACTTCTTCCTCTCTTCTACTAGGAAGTGAAATGGTTTCTGCATGACCAGTAGCTGCTCTTTTCTTCTCTGTATGTCGGACTTCCTTCGTTCATCTTGTTGCTCCATGATATCATTGTAGAGGGGAAGGAGGACATGGGCTGGAACAGGCTGTGCCCGAAAACTTCTTATAGCATTCAATGTCTTCCTCTGTCATGTCATCCACAGGGTCAGCCCAGGCCTGGGCTCTCACCTTCTCTCTCTTTTCTGCTTCCCGCAAACTCATCTGAAATGGTTGGGGCACTGTGATGGCGACTGGGCTGCAGCTTCTCCTGGGCTTTGGCCTTGTGTTGGCAACCAGGCTGGAAGAGGAATCAGCAGCTTTACAAATCCAGTGGAGCTAAACACAAGTCTTGGCCCATGTCACACAGATAATGTCACAGGAAATAGAACCTGTAGACATGAACCAACTTACCTCTGGAGGTCCATGTCCTGGTCCCTGAGTGGGGTGGCAGAGAAGAACCTGCTGAGATCTCCATCATCCAGACCAGCCTGGGACCGATGCATCTCATACAGACTGGCCAGTTCCTGCAGGCAAAGGCTGTTCCTGCTCTTCAAAGAGTGCAGAGTATCCAGAAACTGACAGTCACCGTCCTCCCCATCCAGGTGTCCACCTCTTCCGGAATCCTCACCAGCCATGGCCTACAAGAGGGGTATATACATTAGATGGGTGCAGATACTGAGGGATATATATGGTATGTGGTGGTAAAGAGGAGTCTACACAGTAGGTGAGGGTAGATATGGTAAGTGGTGGTAAATAGGAGGTATATATTCTGGGTGGAGGTATAGAGGGGTATAAACAATAGGTAGGTGAAGGTATAGAGGGATATCGATGGTAGATGTATACAGGGGTATATACGGTAGGCAACTGAGGTTACAGAAGGGTCTATACATGAGGTAGTTAGGGGTATATATTCCAGGTGGGTTAGAGTCCATATGGTAGGTAGGAGGTATAAAAGGTAGAGAGGGGTATATATGGTAGATAGGTGGGGGTAGAGGCATTTATACAGTTGTTAGGGTAAAGAGGTTAGGTAGCTAATGGTATAGAGGGACAAATATAGTATGTATGTAGATGGGGGTATAAGGGGTATTGTATACATTACATAGGTGTGGGTATAGATGAGTATATACAGTTGGTAAGTTGAGGTGTATACGATAGGGCTCTGTAGGTGGATGTATAGAAGAGTATATACAGTAGGTGGGTGGGGGAATAAAGCGTTACATACAGTAGGCAGGTGGGGGTATATACAGCAGGTAGGGCTATAGAAAGGTATATACAGTAGGTACCTGGAGGTATATAGAGATATATTCAGTGAGTAGGAGGGGATATAGAGAGGTATATACGGTAGGTAGGTGGGGGTATAAAGGGGTATATATGGTAGGTTGGTGGGGATATAGACAGGTATATACAGTTGACAGGTAGATGGGGTATAGAGGGGTATATACGGTAGATAGGTAGGGATATAGACAGTTTTATACAGTTGGTAGGTAGATGGGGTGTGGAGGGGTATGTACGGTAGGTAGATGGGGTGTAGAGGAGTATATATAGTAGGTAGATGGGATGAAGAGGGGTATATACGGTAAGTAGATGGGGTATAGAGGAGTATATACTATAGGTAGGTAGGTGGGGGTATAGAGCGGTATACACGGTAGGTAAGTGGGGGTATAGAGCGGTATATACGGTAGGTAGGGATATAGACAGTTTTTATACAGTTGGTAGCTAGAGATGGGGTGTGGAGGGGTATATATGGTAGGTAGATGGGATGAAGAGGGGTATATACGGTAGGTAGATAGGTGGGGTATAGAGCGGTATATACGGTAGGTAAGTGGGGTTATAGAGGGGTATATACGGTAGATAGGTAGGGATATAGACAGTTTTATACAGTTGGGAGGTAGATGGGGTGTAGAGGGGTATGTACGGTAGGTAGATGGGGTGTAGAGGGGTATGTACGGTAGGTAGATGGGGTGTAGAGGGGTATGTACGGTAGGTAGGTGGGGTATAGAGCGCTATATACGGAAGGTAGGTGGGAATATATACTATAGGTAGGTAGGTAGGTGGGGGTAGAGAAAGGTAACAGTACGGTAGATCGGTCCTCTCTTCTATATTCTGCGGCGTCCGTAAGGTGATGAGTTTCCATAGTGACCAAGTACTTCCGGCAACGCAGCGGAAGTCAATAGACGCCATATTGAAATTGGGCAAGGAATAGGAATCTTGCGCTCTGACGCCTTCAGACAGCGACTGGATCGAATGAAAGGTGATGTGTGGAGGACGCCGTGCAGGCTCTTGTAGTATATGTCCTGTCACTAAGAAATGCCAAGAGTGGCAACTGGTTTTCCCCGGCACTCTCCACACATCGGGATATGATCATATCTCCCCAAGCAGAGGAGCTTACACTCTAATGCCCCACCCCCACTAGTATAAGTCTGTATAGCTCTGACATGCTCCATAGTGCTGTACAGAGGGTATGATCCCAGGAGCCCGGTAGTACAGGAGGGATTTCCTCTCTGAATTGCCCCGATCCTGTATGAGATGTGTGGAGGGCGCAGAGCTGGGTTCCTCCCTCTGTACACGTTGTCATGTTATAGTGGAGTGCCCCTTTAATCTCATGACGTCATCTCTCTCTTTGTCCTGTAGAGGTGACTCCGCTGTGAGGTGACCATGCCTTTCCCTGTGTGCCGCCTGGCCCTGCCCCCGCTCCTGGGCCTGCACCCCTCCATCTGCCGCCGTTCTCTGAATTCCTCCACCTCCAGTCTGTATGATGTTGTCATTTCTGGTGGAGGAATGGTGGGAACCGCCATGGCCTGCGCTCTGGGTGAGGAACTTTTATCTCGTGTGTTTCTGTGTCTACTGACCGACCAAGTCCCAGGCCGCAGCACTCCATTCAAGTTTATTGTAGTAAAGTTCAAGTAAATTGAGATGCTAGAAAGGCTAAACTTTTCCCCACTCCCCCCTCCCCCGCCCTGTGCGCCCCATACCGTATATACCTCTCTGTACACCCATCTACCTACTGTATATACCCCAAACTGCGTACCATATATACTACCCCACCTACCTTACTACCATAAATACCCCTCTATATCCCATCTACAGTGCCTTGAGAAAGTATTCATACCCCTTGAAATTTTCCTCATGTTGTCATGTTACAACCAAAAACGTCAATGTATTTTATTGTGTTTTTATGTGATAGACCAACACAAAGTGCCACATAATTGTGAAGTGGAAGGAAAATGATAAATGGTTTTCAAAATTTTTTACATATAAATATCTGAAAAGTGTGGCGTGCATTTGTATTCAGCCCCCTTTACTCTGATACCCCTAACTAAAATCTAGTGGAACCAATTGCCTTCTGAAGTCACCTGATTAGTAAATAGTCCACCTGTGTGTAATGTAATCTCAGTATAAATACAGCTGTTCTGTGAAGCTCTCAGAGGTTTGTTAGAGAACATTAGTGAACAAACAGCATCATGAAGGCCAAGGAACACACCAGACAGGTCAGGGATAAAATTGTGGAGAAGTTTAAAGTAAGGTTAGGTTATAAAAAAATATCCCAAGCTTTGAACATCTCACGGAGCACTGTTCAATTCATCATCCGAAAATGGAAAGAGTATGGCAAAACTGCAAACCTACCAAGACATCATGGCCGTCCACCTAAACTGACAGGCCAGGCAAGGAGAGCATTCATCAGAGAAGCAGCCAAGAGGCCCATGGGAACTCTGGAGGAACTGCAGAGATCCACAGCTCAGGTGGGAGAATCTGTCCACAGGACAACTATTAGTCGTGCACTTCACAAATCTGGCCTTCATGGAAGAGTGGCAAGAAGAAAGCCATTGTTGGAAGAAAGCCACAAGAAGTCCCGTTTGCAGTTTGCGGGAAGCCATGTGGGGGACACAGCAAACATAGAAGAAGGTGCTCTGGTCAGATGAGACCAAAATTGAACTTTTTGGTCTAAAAGCAAAACGCTATGTGTGGCGGAAAACTAACACTACACATCACCCTGAACACACCATCCCCCACCGTGAAACGTGGCAGCATCATGTGGTGGGAATGCTTTTCTTCAGCAGGGACAAGAAAGCTGGTCATAGTTGATGGGAAGATGGATGGAGCCAAATACAGGGCAATCTTAGAAGAAAACCTGTTGGAGTCTACAAAAGACTTGAGATTGGGGCGGAGGTTCCCCTTCCAGCAGGACAACGACCCGAAACACCCAGCCAGAGCTACAATGGAATGGTTTAGATCAAAGCATCTTCATGTGTTAGAATGGCCCAGTCACAGTCCAGACCTAAATCCAATGGAGAATCTGTGGCAAGACTTGAAAATTGCTGTTCCCAGACATTCTCCATCCAATCTGACAGAGCTTGAGCGATTCTGCAAAGAAGAATGGGCAGAAATGTCCCTCTCTAGATGTGCAGAGCTGGTAGAGACATCCCCAAAAAGACTTGCAACTGGAATTGCAGCGAAAGGGGGTCCTACAAAGTATTGACTCCGGGGGGCCGAATACAAATGCACACCACACTTTTCAGATATTTATTTGTAAAAAAAATGTTGAAAACCATTTCTCATTTTCCTTCCACTTCACAATTATGTGGCACTTTGTGTTGGTCTATAACATCAAATCCCAATAAAATACTTTTACGTTTTAGATGTAACATGACAACATGGGGAACATTTCAAGGGGTATGAAGACTTTTTCAAGGCACTGTACCTACCATATATACCTTTCCATAGCCCCACCTGCCTACGGTATATACCTCTCTCACCCCACCCACCTACTGTATAATCCCTTCTATAGAAGCCCTATCATATATACCCCAATGAAAACCATATACACTGTCCAAAATATTTTTTCCATTAAAAAAAAAAATTTTCTATTCTGCTCCTTCGAATTTCCCCATCACTGTGGTAGAAAATGAATGTTGATTTGACCCCACTAACAGTTAGAATATCGAACAAACATTATTAAAAATCCCGTCTAAAAACCTACAAAACAGTGTTTTTAGGTTTTTTTTTTTTTTAATTTATTTATTTTTTTGCTTCAATAAAAATTTTGATCTCTGAATCTGATGGTATGTATGAGATTCAACCTCGAATAGTACGTACATCTCTTCTCATATATTTTGTTTCCTAACCATATAGCTGGTTATTTATATTTACTACAGCATATAGATATTCAAGGATACATTATTTTACATATTAACTAAATTATACACCAAACGTGAGGTTTTTATCTGATTAATCAAAACAATAACTGGCCAACTAATCAATTATGAAAATAATCATTGGTTGCAGCCCTAGTATATACTCATCTGTGCCCACACCTATGTAATGTATACAGTACCCCTCTATACCTCCCACCTACATACTATGTTTGTCCCTCTGTACCAGGGGTCTCCAAACTATGACCCTCCAGGTGTTGAGGAACTGCGTGTCCCGTGAGGCCTTGCAAGACTCTGGCAGCCACAGGCAAGACTCCCAGAGCCATGATGGGACTTGTAGTACTTCCAACAGCTGGAGGGCCATAGTTTAGAGACCCCTGCTCTATACCATTACTTACGTACCCTCTATACCGCCCAACTGTATAAATGCCTCTACCCCCACCAATTTACCATATATACCCCTCTCTACCCCTACCTGCCTACCTTTTTATACCTCCTGCCTACCATATGGACTCTAACTCACCTGCATTAGATGACCGACCTACTACCGTACTTATGCCTTTCTTTACCCCTACCTACCGTATATATACTTCTCTATACCACCTCCAACCTACTATATTTACCTCTTTACCCCCACCTACCTACTGTATATACTCTATACCTTCACATACTTACCATATATACCCCTCAGTACCCACATAAATATACCTTTCTATACCTCATCTACCTACCATATATTCCCTTCCATATTCCCATCTACCTATCATATATACCTCCCTATACACCCATCTACCTACCTCATATACCTCCCTATATGCCCACCGTGTCTAACTCTCTATACCCTCACCTACCTACCTACCTACCGTATATACCCATCTATACCCCATCTACCTACTTTTATATACTTCTCTATATGCCCACCTACCTACCTTTTGTTCCTCCCTCTGCACCCCACTGATATTTTTCCCACCTTCTGCTCCCTTCTATTGTCTTCTGATCCCCATTGCTTCCTTCTCTCACCCTCTGCTCCTCACTTCATCTCTCTCTTCCCCCTGCTCAACACTACCTCCTCATCCACCCTCTGCTCCTCACTGCTCCTTTGTCTTGCCTTCTGCTCTCCATTGCTTTCTTTTCACACCCTCTGTTCCCTATTGTTCCCTTTTCCCGCCCTCTACTTCCTTCTACTACCCACTGCTCCCTTCAGCTGCCCTCTAATCCCCACTGCTTTCTTCTTGCTCCCCAATGCTTCACTCTTCTGCCCCTGCTTCCCTCTCCCTCCCAAGCCAGGCTGTTGGTTAACCCATTGTAACCAATCAAATATCAGTATTCACCTACAATGGCAATACTGCTTACAGATTGGTTAAAAAGTCTTCTTTTTTTTTTTTTTTTTGTAAAATGTTTTGTGTGCTTGAAAAATTAGGTTCCAACCCTCATTTGCGCCACAAGAAGATTCTTCTGCTGGAGGCAGGACACAGGAAAGTGTATGACCACTTACCAGAGCAGTTCAGTAACAGAGTCAGTTCTATTACACCCGGCTCGGCCACCCTTCTGGCCAGTAAGTACTTATGCTAAAACTGTACCACATTTCTTTCTTTTGTTTCATACCCGCTGTCATGAAATGTTCTTTTTTCTCTGCCAACAGGCTTTGGGGCCTGGGATCATATCTGTGCCATGAGGATGAAACCATACAAAAGAATGCAGGTGAGATAATGACTATATATTGTGCATCAATGAGGGCCCTTCTCCATAAACAGCTGATCTCTTGCAGGTTTGGGATGCCTGTTCTGATGCTCTAATTACATTTGACAAAGAAGGTTTGGAGGATATGGGATACATCATCGAGAATGACGTCATTACAGCCGCACTGACTAAACAGATGGACGCCATGACAGGTCAGAGCTATATCTAACTAAATGATGTGACCATGGCCTAGTTGTGTAAGCCCATACTAAAGCTGAATTCCAGGATTTCAGCAACTTTGTAAAAAAGGCAGGTACATTATGAGTTAAGTCCAAGGAGCTACATGACATCTCATGGGCTTCACTCTGATATTTTATATCTGACAAGTTTATGGTTGTGCCAAAGTATACTCTGACATTCGGGGCTGTGAGAGAGGAGAAGGTGGCACACAGAGTAGCTATGCCCTTCCTGCCCCTCTGCTGCACAGTCAAAGAAGCCTTTGTATTTTGTGAATAAATTCAAATAATACAAAGACTTCTGTGATGGGGCAGGCATAGCAGGTGCACCAACTCCAATGTTGAAGATGCTTAGACCTGAATCATCAGCGTCAGGCTCTTGGAAACACAGCAATAGACATCTTTCGGGAGTGCAATAAAACTGTCAAATGTAAATAATAGAGAGAAGCCCAAGAGATGTCATGCACCTCTTTGGACTTTACCCCTAGTGTGCCTTCACTTTTACAAAGGAGCTGAATTCCTGGAATTCAACTTTAAATGGAACTCGGAAAACGTGATCCTTCTGATTTCGCACTCTTATGAATTGCACACCTCTGCAACACTACATTGGCAGTGTGATAACACCACTGTTTCCTTATTCAGCTTTGCCGTCGGGGTCAGTTGTTATTTTCTTAACTATATACATACAGATCGCATTGAGGTCCTCTACCGGAGTCGGGCTGTGAACTACACCTGGCCAGCACCTTACCACGATGAGGAGGGAAGCAGCTGGGTGCAGATACAGTTGGCAGATGGACAGAAACTGCACACAAGACTTCTGGTGAGGATCTCTGTTTCCCATTACAGACCACCCCACTTTCCCCACCGTCTTAAACCCCACCCATCATTTTATAATTCATCCTGCTAGATTGGAGCAGATGGACAGAACTCTATGGTCCGTAGCACAGCCGGGATGAAAACCATTAAGTGGAGTTACAACCATGTTGCTGTAGTTGCTACTCTGCAGCTGTCTGAGGTGAGTGAAGTGCTTTACATCTGCAGGACAGCCTCAGTCCGCACTGAGAATATTAGTTTGTGGCCACTAGAGGGTAGCCGTTACTGGGAGCAGTATGAATATGGCCATTAATGGATAATGTGGCATTCATTTGGATCTAACCACGTCTAACGGAAGTCCATTCATTTGATGAAACAGAATGAGATTTATGCAAGTAAAAGATGCAATATTCTTTCCTGCTACCATGGGTTGCAAGAAAGAGTCACTTGATTCCCCCATCAACACAAACAGTGTTGATGGGGGAATCCCTCCTGCAGCACTGTTGTATTTTGCAGGAAGAGTGCAATGATCACTGCTGGTGGCTATAGCCACCGGCAGTAATCACCTGCAAAAAAAATCCCACAAGCTGGTTGTTCTGAAGTTGATCGATGAATTGACGTCCGTGTGTGACCAGCCTGCCCATAGATGGCTCCAGTCTCGGCAGGTCCCTGGTGAACCAGCCAAGATTCAATCCATTTATGGCCAGCTTTAGCCACATTAAAAAGTTTCCAATGAATGCACAATTAGGTTGCATGGACATATGATGAGGTTGCAGTGGATATAGGGTTCGGAGGTTGTACATGACATGGGGGAGGTTCTCTCGGATTAGGGATGGAAATAAACACCATAGGTGTTGGCTTTTTACCTTCTAAAAACGTATTGACTGAGGACATGCATGATGTGTTCTAGGAGTGAATGGTAATTTATTGCTAGTAGACATGTTTGTTATATCAGCCTACAGTAGAGGAGGGAAGCCCTTTAGAAAGCTAGTAGACATGAGGTCTGGTAGATCAGTATAGTATAGTGGAGGGAAGACCTGGGAGCGCTAGCAGACATGATGTTTGTTAGGTCAGAATACTCTAGAGGAGGGAAGACCTTGGGGAGCTAGTAGACATGTCTGTTAGGTCAGTGTATTGAGGGAAAACCTCGGAAAGCTAGTAGACATGATGTCTGTTAGGTCAGCATACTCTAGAGGAGGGAAGACCTCGGGGAGCTAGTAGATGTGAGGTCTGTATACTCTAGTAGTCATGATGTCTGTTAGGTCAGTATACTCTAGAGGAGAACTAGTAGACATGATGCTTGTTAGGTCAAAATACTCTAGAGGAGGGGAGACCTCAGGGAGCTAGTAGATGTGAGATCTGTTGAGTCAGCATAGTCTAATGGAGGGAAGACACTGGAGTGCTAGTAGACATGATATCTGTTAAGTCAGTTTACTCTAGTGGAGAAATAGTAGACATGTTTGTTACATCAGAATACTCTACTGGAGGGAAGACCTCGGGGAGCTAGTAGATGTTAGATCTGTGTACTCTAGTAGACTTGTTGTTTTTGTTAGGTCAGTATACTCTAGTGGAGAGCTAGTAGACCTGATGCTTGTTAGGTCAGAATACTCTACTGGAGGGAAGACCTCGGGGAGCTAGTAGACATGTCTGTTAGGTCAGTATATTCTTGAGGGAAAACCTCGGAAAGCTAGTAGACATGATGTCTGTTAGGTCAGCATACTCTAGAGGAGGGAAGACCTCGGGGAGCTAGTAGATGTGAGATCTGTTGGGTCAGCATAGTCTACTGGAGGGAAGACGCTGGAGTGCTAGTAGACATGATATCTGTTAAGTCAGTATACTCTAGTGGAGAAAGAGTAGACATGTTTGTTACGTCAGAATACTGTAGTGGAGGGAAGACCTTCGGGGAGCTAGTAGATGTGAGGACTGTTAGGTCTGTACGCTCTAGTTGAGGGAAGTAGATTAAGGGTGTGTCCATAGGGTGTATCATGGATCAAAAACTCATACATGTACCACATCCTGAAAAAGCATATCAAGAATATATTAGAGACTAAATGGACCTTATAGGCATTTAGACACAATTCTTGTATAAAATTTCTATACTCTTTATTAACAAGTCACATAGATATAACAATTAACAATGATTTCTAAAATATGATACCCATTAAGTACCACAGTTAACAACATCAAATCGCACCGTTGTTAACTGTGGTACTTATTGGGTATCATATTTTAGAAAGCATTGTTCTATCTATGTGACTTGTTAATGGAAATTTTATACAAAAATGGTGCCTATAAAGTTCATTTAGTCTCTAGCTGAGGGAAGACCCTGGAAAGCTTGAAAAATTGTCTGTTAGGTCAGTGTACTCTAGAGGAGGGAAGACCTCGGGGAGCTAGTAGACATGATATCTGTGAGGTCAGTATACTCTGAAGGGGAGGACCCTGGAGAGCTAGTAGACATGATGTTAGGTTGGCATGCTATCTCAGAGCACAGTAGTTGGCACAAAGAATAATGATGTCATATAAACATTCTTGTAGTGAGTGTTTTTAGCCATGCAAGATGGCCTCTGTATACTTTGTGTTTATCTCTCATTATCCTACAATGACCCCTCAGCTGGAGTGTTTATGTCTGTTTGTATGTTCATTTCGTGTAGCTCACCGACAACAATGTAGCCTGGCAGAGGTTCCTTCCCACTGGTCCCATTGCTCTTCTCCCTGTAAGTTGTGTGTATTTGTCTGTTTTGTTGTGGAATAGCCATGGTCATTCTGTCATCTTTTCTTTTACCTATTTAACTGGTTAGGGGAAAAAAAAGTTATGTTCAGTCATGTAGCTTGGACCAGGTGATAGTCTCTCTAGAATGCCCCTGGTGGCTGCCAGACTCTCAATGTCCTCTTCCAGTGTGCTCAGCACTTTACTGATTGTGGTTCATCTATCGTGTATGTCTTCTCTTCATCTATAGCTGCTCTTGTTTTTCTTGCACTGCAAGTTTCCTGACCATCCAAATCATTGCTTCCTCCTGACAGCTTTCAGATAGTTGTAGTTCATTAGTCTGGTCCACGTCTCCTGAACATGCTGCTGAACTTCTTAAGATGGATGATGAAACCTTTGTTGATGCTGTCAATTCAGCTTTCGTAAGTACATTTTTTTAAAATAAATTGAAGCATTGCAATGATTGTATACTTCCAGTCCATTTCAAGCTTTACAATAGATAATGCGAAGCCGGCCAGCATAGTGGACTGGATTCGATTCCACTTTTAGCATTGTAATAGAAAGAATTCTGCTTACATTTGCAGTTCCATGTGTAAGGCACACACCAAGCTAGCTTTTTAAAGTGCAGCTCTTCTCTGATTCATGGAATTTCCAACACTGGAAATACATACAGTGTATAGCAATTAAGAAATTGAGGAACTTGATGCCTTGCAGTGGTTGTGAGTTGCCTTTTAACATACAATATATTGTAAATGTCTAGTCCTCAGATGTAGTGGCTGCATTAGTTTTTCTTTCTTCAGGCTGTATCCTTTTTTTTTTTTTTTTTTTTTTTTTCACCTGGTGACCCTACCAATAACACATTTCCTGACAATGCTCAGTCATTATACTGTATCTATGGAGAAGCTGTGTTTGTTACTCTAGTCTAGAGTCTAGGACAGGGGTGGGCAAACCTTTTGACTTGAGGGCCGCAATGGGTTCATATATTGGACCCGGGGGCCGGACCAAGAGTAGATGAATGATGTGTATGTGTCATCCATAGTAAGTATAGTAATATTCCCCCATAGTAAGCATAGTAATTCATCCCCCATATAGTAATTCATTCCCCATATTAATTCATCCCCCATATTAAGTCCCCAAGTGCCCCCTGTGTCAATTTACTTACCTTTGCTCCGCGCGTTCCTCTCGCCGTGTTCCCGCGCCGTTCCGGTCTTCAGGGCGGACTGTGAGAGGAGCCTAGCTCCCCTCACGTTCGTCACGCTGCCCCCGCCTACACACATCCTGACAGCCATCCTGACAGTATCACGCTCCGCGGGCCGGATTAAAAGGTCCGCCGGGCCGTATTTGCCCATTGCTGGTCTAGGACATGAAGTGTATTAAGACTGCTGAAGACCTCCCCCTCACCTCTTCTCCATAACATAACAAGCAGGAGGTATTCTGCAGTCTTAATACACTTTCTGATAATGTTTGAGACAGGACAGTACTAGATTTCTAGCAGATAAACCTATATTTTTTTGCACTTCTCAAAATGATATAACAAATTACTTTTGGTATATTTAACAGACCAGAGTGGAACAGAAAAGAGAAGCCCATCATTGGGGTTTACAAATACTTTAAACATTGATTGCTGCCATCTTCTGTCTTTTTTTGCTTTTTCACAGTGGAGAGCAGCGAGCACCACTCAGAATTCATCTCCTCTGCCAACTCCATGCTCCGCTCAGTCCTATCTCTCCTCATGCCGAGTGGAACCCCTGCACGCCAGCTTCCTCCCAGTGTCTCTGGTGTCGGTGAGAAGAGTAGGGCTGCTTTTCCGCTGGGATTAGGTCACGCCACCGAATATGTGCGTCAGCGGGTTGCTTTAATTGGGTGAGGAGACATCAATAGATGAAATAATATTTATTTAATAGGGAGAGGTGATATCAGTATGTTATTAAACATCCCTGGTTATTAGATGGTGTGTAAAACTAAGAATGTTGTATGTTGCTTTTTAGAGACGCCGCACACAGAGTCCACCCACTGGCGGGACAGGGAGTGAACATGGGCTTCGCTGATGTGGCCAGTTTACTCAATCATCTGAGCAGCGCTGCATTTGATGGACGAGATTTAGGTAACTGCAGTGCGGATATGTCAGTTGTATCTGTCCAAGAGATATGGCTTGCTGTATGGTGATGGAGACATGGTTTTCAGAGCGATGGATGGAGGTATGGGTTTGTTTGAGTGTGTGTGGGTTAGGGAGCGATGGATGGAGAGAGGAGTGTGTGTGGGTTAGGGAGCGATGGATGGAGAGAGAGTGTGTGTGGGTTAGGGAGCGATGGATGGAGAGAGGAGTGTGTGTGGGTTAGGGAGCGATGGATGGAGAGAGGAGTGTGTGTGGGTTAGGGAGCGATGGATGGAGAGAGGAGTGTGTGTGGGTTAGGGAGCGATGGATGGAGAGAGGAGTGTGTGTGGGTTAGGGAGCGATGGATGGAGAGAGGAGTGTGTGTGGGTTAGGGAGCGATGGATGGAGAGAGGAGTGTGTGTGCGTTAGGGAGCGATGGATGGAGAGAGGAGTGTGTGTGCGTTAGGGAGCGATGGATGGAGAGAGGAGTGTGTGTGGGTTAGGGAGCGATGGATGGAGAGAGGAGTGTGTGTGGGTTAGGGAGCGATGGATGGAGAGAGGAATGTGTGTGGTTTATGAAGGCATGGATGGACATAGGGTTGTGATTTGTAGAATGATGGATGGAGATGGGGCATGGTTTGTGGAGCGATGAGAGGAGTGTGTGTGTGGGTTATGGAGTGATGAATACAGGTAGGTTTGCGGTTTATGAAGGCATGGATGGACATAGGGTTGTGATTTGTAGAATGATGGGGCATGGTTTTTGGACCAATGGATGGAGGTGTGTGTGTGTGTTATGGAGTGATGAAGGCATGGATGGACATAGGGTTGTGATTTGTAGAATGATGGATGGAGATGGGGCATGGTTTATGGAGCGATGGATGGAGAGAGGAGTGTGTGGGTTATGGAGTGATGAATGCAGGTAGGGGTATGGTTTATGAAGGCATGGATGGACATGGGGTTGTGATTTGTAGAATGATGGAGATGGGGCATGATTTGTGGAGCGATGGACAGAGATAGGGGTGTGGTTTATGGAGCAATAGATGTAGATAGGACTGAGTGGGTTATGGAGTGATGGATGGAAATAGTAGCGTGGTTATGGAGCAATAGATAGGGGTGAGTAGCTGATGAAGCGATGGATGGAGATAGGGGCATGGTTTGCAGAATGATGGATAGAGCTAGGGCTGTGGTGTATGGAGTGAGTGATAGGATATATGGGTGTGGTTTATAGTAAAGCTTTCCTTAGAGAAATACAGGGCTGTCATTTCTAATAAGGTACAATGCCTAACTTATTTGGATCCTCTGGTTTCAATACATTTTGAGTTACTGACCTGAAACAAGTAAACATAAAGTCAGTGCAACAGCCATGCAGCTATCATTCTCACATTGCAGCCCTATCTTTCCCTCAGGGATGGTTTCCTTTATTTGTATTATCAGTGGAAAAATTGACTAAATGGAACTTTGTATTATGTATTTTTTATGTGTGAATAGACTGGTGCTCTTCTCAATTATTATCAGATTGCTCTTGTACAATCACCACTACTTCACACAGTGTCATTGTGCCCCTGTACAGTTCCCATCACCCCATGCAGTGTGTATATACTTTGTTGAAGTACTGCAAACCCTTGTGTTGTGACCATGTGAACTACAAGTCCAAAACCAGACCTCTCTTTTTCTCATGTACACGGGGCGTTTGGAAAACTCTTCTGAACGATGTAAACTGACTGATGGAAAACGTAGGTTACCGGCTTACCGCGTTAGAAGTGTTTTTAAAAGATAACCTCAGGAGAGCTTCCCAAATGCCCAGAAATAGTAAATAATTAACTATTTCAGACATTTTGTGAGAAATAGAGAGAGTAGAAGCAGAGAGAGCAGTATGTGTTGAGATGACCTGCCTTTTCTGGTTGTATTCACTATGGATCCCATCATGAGCATAATGCGGCACGTTCTACCATTATTTTCCTTCATGCAAAACCTGCAACTGACTGCGCTGGTGTTCCGGGTCCATTTGAGTACATGGAAAACGCTTTGCATGCATTTCTGATGATGAAAAAAGGCTCTGGACAGCATCTGGATATGGATATGGAACCGTTAAAAAAACGCTTCTAAATGCGGTATTTTTTAAACGCGTTTACAAGTGTTTGAAACGCCTGTAAAATCTACTCCTGAACGTAAGTTTGGTGTGTTAAAAAAATGACTCAACTGCCTGTAAACGACGATGTGTACATGGACACATAGGAAAACATTAGGGAGAGTTCAGGGCTGCTGAAAAAAACGCTGAACGGCTCCTGAACATCAGTTTAGCAGCTGCAGTGTACATGAGCCCTTATACTGTGGTTGCAGTGCTGGTTTCCTTTTCCATTATTAAATTTGAACACAGGTCTGCTATCCTATAGGGACCTCTATAGATCTAGATAACCATTTTATGTTTTTTATTTGTCAGGATCCACAAGACATCTCTTGGCATATGAGACAGAACGGCAACGCCAGAACCTCCCATTAATGGCTGCTATTGACTTGCTGAAAAGATTATACAACACCAAGCAGCCTCCAGTTGTTCTTTTGCGCACTCTTGGTCTCCAAGCAACAAATGCAATGACACCTCTAAAGGTAGGCTGTCTTCCCCATTGAGTGTGCTGTTGGTGACTAGGCGGGGTGTATGGGCTCATCTAACTGTATCTTTCTGTCACCTCCAGGAACAGATAATGGCGTTCGCCAGTAAGTGATGATGGTGTGCTTCATCTAATGGCAATCCATATATGTAATTTATTGGGCAGTCATTTCCTGATATATTTTGTTTATAATAAATATGTTTTACATTGATTTTAAATTTTTTTTTTTCCATATGACTGTAGCTATATCACATCAGATGAAACCATTAAATGAGTGCAGAGTTGCAGGTAAAATGACTGTGCTTATACCCCCGGTTCACATCGATGCGGCAGTGTGGGCCAAGTTTTGCACGGGCACAAGAGCCCATTCATATGAATGGACTCCCATGCACGTGACACGCAGGGAAGAAGTCCATGCACTTCTTTGGAAAACGCAGCATGCCATTAGAATCAATGGCACCTGCCCGCGGGTCCACATTTCTCTGTGCGGGTGGTGTGGCTGCACAGATTTGTGTGCAGATCCGCAGTAGCACCACCTGCACAGATGTGAACCGAGGGTCAGTGCATATTATAATCACAGCTGGGTCTGAAGAACATCATTGATTGTGTTACTACCTGCAGAGGTAGCAGTGGAGGGCAGCTGTGTTTTTTTTAAACACCCTATATGGAGAAGGCTTGTGCTTCTTGCTTGGCTGTGACAATGCAGATTGAAATAGGAACTTGCTGTGGCTAATCGCCACACTCTGTGGAGAACTGGGAAAAATTCAGTTGAACTGCCAGATTTTTCAGGTTGACATCCAGCGACACAAACTTTAAAATACTGACAAGACATCAGTGACACAAAGTACTTTACCAAATAAATTATTTAATTTACTGCACTTTTTTACATTTTAATAGATTAATTATATAAATATCATGGCTGCAACAAATAGCAGCTGGTTAGAAATGGTCAGTGCAAATTGCATATTATTCAAGATTAGGACACTAGTAAGAGAAGAAAATTAAATTATGATGAGCTCTCTTGTATCCATGTAACATTAGCAAATTAGTTATAATAATAAAAAAAAAAAAAAAAAAGTTTTTGGGCTAAATCCCAAGATGTGCGATATGACTCATTATAAGGCACTGGGGTTGTGGTATCGCTGCTGGTGCTACTCCAACAGTAAAAGCGACTGCAACACGTGGAAAGCGGCTCCCAGCGTCCAGCTCATCTCCACATTTCGCACTTTTTTGGTTAGCTGAAATGAAAATCCAAAATGTGATTTAGAAGGAACAAAAACCATAAAATAAACAACAAGATTGCAGATTTACCTGCAAGATGGTTCCATCCTCGAATCCAAAGCCTTCCCTGAGCAGAGCAGTGATGTAGGTCAGGTCCATACACAAGAAGTGGCTGTGAGACGAGTCGCTGGTCATATGGTCACACACTGCGGGAAGATGCATTCAGTTGACAGTTTGCCATAACATGTTCTCTTCACATCTAAAGAGAAAATTCTTTTTGATACAACTTTTTTTTCCTGGCCTTTCTGACCTTTAGATTGTACAAATATGCACAAATTGTTTTTTTTCTAAAACTCATAAATTGTCCATTTTTTTTGCTATGCAAGAAGTGCCCCTGATGGTACACACAGCACCAGCAGAAGCTGTGCTAGATGATAATAAGCTATGATGTTGAACACTGGGAATTAAAGGATAAGTTCACTTTGTGGAACATGTAGCCTATTCCAGCAGCTGCAGGCTCCACCCTCTCCCACCAAGCCTGCCTATTGGCCATCAATGTCACTCATCACATTGAAGGGTCATTTGGGCTTGTAAGAGGGTAGGAAGGAGCATTACCAAGCCCAATGATTACAGGAAAAGTATATGGCATTGAATGGTCTGTATGGCATGTGCATTTCACTGCTTATGTATTTTTAATTACCGTATTTCTCACTCCATAAGACGCACCTAGGTTTTAGAGGCGAAAAACAAGAAAAAAAAAAATATTCTGAACCAATGGACTGCAGACATAGTACAGGAGATGACCAGAGGCTGCGGACACAGTGCAGGAGATGACCAGAGACTGCGGACACAGTGCAGGGGATGACCACAGACTGCAGACACAGTGCAGGGGATGACCACAGACTGCGGACACAGTGCAGGGGATGACCAGAGACTGCGGACACAGTGCAGGGGATGACCAGAGACTGCGGACACAGTGCAGGGGATGACCAGAGACTGCGGACACAGTGCAGGGGATGACCAGAGACTGCGGACACAGTGCAGGGGATGACCAGAGACTGCGGACACAGTGCAGGGGATGACCAGAGACTGCGGACACAGTACAGGGGATGACCAGAGACTGCAGACAGTGCAGGGGATGACCAGAGACTGCGGACCTTTGGGGAGGGAGGGGGAACGGGTACCTGAATTTGACAGGTACCCGCTCCCACTTTCGCGGAGTTGTCCTTCCCTCTTCTTCCCGCGCCGGCTTCTGTGACAGCCAGGTGCCCACTGCGCATGCGCGAGAAGCGCTGCGCTTTGTGAATGGCCCGGCGCCCTCTGGGACCTGTCATGTGTCCCAGAAGACACCGGACCATTCACAAAGCGCAGCAGGCACCCGGCTGTCACAGACGCGAGCGCGGGAAGACTGTTCAGCGCTGGAGCGAGGAACAGGTAAGGTCCTGCAGGAGAGAACAGCTGAGCGGCCGGCCCGGTATTCTGACATGGTGGCAGCAGAAATACAGTACCGGCTGCTTTATATTCGCTCCATAAGACGCACTGACATTTTCCCCCCTTTTTTGGGGGAAAAAAGTGCGTCTTATGGAGCAAAAAATACGGTAACTCCCTAGCTAAACTAATTCCACAGGTTTGTTTTAACTCCTCTGATGGATGGAAAGGTGGGATCACAAGTCCTAATCTTTCTGCAGATAAGAACCCTAGAGCCTGTACATTCAAGTCCAAGATCCAAAGAATGAATAGTGCTTTTGTACACATTATGTTTCTTTTTTTCTTATTGTTAGTAATAGAAAAAAAAATACATTTTTCGAAAAGAAAAGTTTGTACCATAAAATCCTTTTCTTGGAGTCCATTGAGAGACACAGGATGTCCTAATCCTTTGGTGATATATTGCCACCTAGAGAAAGTAGGACACTGGCAAAATAATTAAAAAAAAAAAAAAAAAAGCTGTAGGCCAGCCCAGGGTATAACTAGCATGCCACACTTTGGTAGCAAAGTAATATCAAGATTCATAAACACAGAGGGGTGGTACCTTTTGTCCCTCAATAGACTCAAAGATAAAGATTTTAGGGTGAGTACAAAAAAACGCTGCTTTTCTCCCTTGTCCATTGAGGGACATAGGAGTCCTAAACCTTTGGGATATCCAAAAACAAATCAAGTGAGGGGTGGGCAACACAGAAAACCCACCTGAAGCTCAAAAAAGCTGCCTGAAGGATCTTATATACCTAAAGCTGGCATCAGACAGGATTGAAATGTCCACCTGGTAGAACTTGGAAAACGTGTGAACTGAAGACTGGATGGTAGCCTTGCAGAATAGGTGGAACATATAACATGTTTCAAAGGTGAACTTTATCCTTTAAAAGGCAGTTTACAGTGTTTTAAAAGATCAAGTGTACACACACTTTGGATCACAGCAGTGACTGCCACTCCTTACAGAAAAATGTAAAATAACTGTATAAAAGCTTAACATTCTAGTTTTGTTTAAAGTGTTACTAAACCCAGGACCCTGCATTCACTATATCCGGTCTCCCCAGACCCTGCATTCACTATATCCGGTCTCCCCAGACCCTGCATTCACTATATCTGGTCTCCCCGGACCCTGCATTCACTATATCTGGTCTCCCCGGACCCTGCATTCACTATATCTGGTCTCCCCGGACCCTGCATTCACTATATCTGGTCTCCCCGGACCCTGCATTCACTATATCTGGTCTCCCCGGACCCTGCATTCACTATATCTGGTCTACATCAACCCAAGATGAGCACTAAGAAAACCCACATGCAATCTGCTGTGAAGCAGGATTGGGCAGACATACAATATATTGCCAAAGTATTACCTTTACACACACATGAACTTTAATGGCATCCCAGTCTTAGTTCATAGGGTTCAATATTGAGTTGGCCCCGCCCTTTTCAGCTATAACGGATCCAACTCTTCTGGGAAGGCTGTCCACAAGGTTTAGGAGGGTGTCTATGGGAAGGTTTGACCATTCTTCCAGAAGTTCATTTGTCAGGTCAGGCACTGATGTCGGGGGGAGGAGGCCTGGCTCGCAGTCTCCACTCTAATTCATCCCAAAGGTGTTCTATGGGGTTGAGGTCAGGACTCTGTACAGGCCAGTCAAGTTCCTCCACCCCAAACTGGCTCCTCCATGTCTTTATGGACCTTGCTTTGTGCACTGGTGTGCAGTCATGTTGGAACAGGAAGGGGCCATCCCCAAACTCTTCCCACAAAGTTAGGAGATTTAAATTGTCCAAAATGTCTTAATATATGCTGATGCCTTAAGAGTTCCCTTCACTAGAACTAGGGGCCAACCCCACCCCACCCCATAATCCCCCCTTCACCAAACTTTACACTTGGCACAATGCAGTCAAGTACCGTTCTCCTGGCAACCACCAAACCCAGACATGTCAATCAGATTGCCAGACAAAGAAGCGCGATTCCTCACTCCAGAGAACACGTCTCCACTGCTCTAGAGTCCGGTGGCGGCGTCCATTACACCACTGTATCTAACGCTTTGCATTGCACTTGGTGATGTAAGGCTTGGATGCAGCTGTTTGGCAATGGAAACCCATTCCATGAAGCTCTCTACGCACTGTTGTTGTGTTAATCTGAAGGCCCCACCAAGTTTGGAGGTCTTTAGCTATTGACTCTGTAGACAGTTGGTGACTTCTGTGCACTGTGCGCTTCAGCATTCGCTGACCTCACTGTAATTTTACATGGCCTACCGCTTCATGGCAGAGTTGCTACTGTTCCCAGTTGCTTCCACTGTTATAATACCACTAACAGTAGCACAGAAATGTAATGGATGGACTTATTGCACAGGTGACAATCTATCAAGGTATCACGCTTGAATTTAGTGGGCTCCTGAGAGTGACCCATTTTTCACAAATGTCTGTAGAAGCAGTCTGCATGGCTAGGGGCTTGATTTTATACACCTGTGGCCATGGAGGGGATTGGAACTCCTTAATCCAATGAGTTGGTGGGGTGTCCCAATACTTTTGGCAAGTGTACATTACATTACAGTAGTGTACATTACAGTATTATTATTATTACTACGAGTTTATATAGCGCCAAAGGGTTTGCTCAGCGCTGTACAATAGGGGGGACAATACATGGCACAGTACAACAACAAACAACGTACGAGGGGTAAGAGGGCCCTACTCTTACGAGCTTACAATCTGGGAGGGGGTAAAGGTACAGTAGGAAGTGGCTGAGGGGGATGAAGTGGTGGGAGGAATGAGGGAGGATGTATGTATAGAATTGGCCTGGTGGGATTGGGGTTTTCTTCAGGACAGATGTTTGTAACAAGTTTCTAACCCATAAAACAACCAAACCATGTTTCAGAATATTTTGGGGGGGAAAAAAAAGACAAGCCTTTAATAAATCTCCATATTTTACCTTCTCTTGCTTTTTGGGCAAAGTCACGGACTTCCAGCACACCACCATTCTCGAAATCTGATATCACAAAAATGCTGCATTAGGAGAACAGAACAGAATGGTTTATCAAGCTGCACAGACATGGCACTCACCAATCAGGCTGCTGTCCACAGCGCGGTCATAGTAGTATGAGAAGGCATAGAATGGGCTGTGTCGGATCTCTTCCACTTGGTGCAGCTTTCCTACCACAATACGTTGAACCTCCGAGTAACACAAATGAAATCCAGTCAGACCTGAAAGGAAAAATAGAGCCAAACATAATACAAGTCCACATGCTATACATCAGCAATATGCTAGACAAGCCCACTTTTAAAACATATAGGAACTGGCATGTCCAGTTGAATCAGAGACTTCCTGAGCACCGAAAGGAGAACCCTGCCCCCTTCCTATGAGTTGCTTTTAGGGTTCATTGAAGCATCTCTGAAACATTTATAAGGTACAACTTAAGTCAGAAAAATAGAAATTCTGTTCGATAGACATTTTAATCATTTCTATGTATATAGTCTTCCCACCACTTTTCTGTTATAGCAGTTGCACAGTATGTCTAAATTGGCTGCCACCTCAGTCTGCATGAGAGTACCTAGAAACAGTGCGGCTGTTACTTATTCAAATCAGCATACCGCAATGGTTTCCACTATGAGCAAAAGATATTTAAGACATTTCCACTGTTAATCAATCCTGGTAAAATTAAGAGGATTCCAAAAACTTTACATTTTTCATCACAGCAGGAGTAGATTAGGGATTTCTCAAATGAGACAATCTGTGAGAGTTAAAGCCAGAGTGCACCCCTCACCGTAAGCATGTCTTACCCCTTCTAGAACCTGAGTGCACCCCTCACCATCATCATGTCTTACCCCTTCTAGAACCTGAGTGCACCCCTCACCATCATCATGTCTTACCCCTTCTAGAACCTGAGTGCACCCTCACCATCAGAATGTCTTACCCCTTCTAGAACCTGAGTGCACCCCTCACCATCAGCATGTCTTACCCCTTCTAGAACCTGAGTGCACCCCTCACCATCAGCATGTCTTACCCCTTCTAGAACCTGAGTGCACCCCTCACCATCAGCATGTCTTACCCCTTCTAGAACCTGAGTGTACCCCTCACCATCAGAATGTCTTACCCCTTCTAGAACCTGAGTGCACCCCTCACCATCAGCATGTCTTACCCCTTCTAGAACCTGAGTGCACCCCTCACCATCAGCATGTCTTACCCCTTCTAGAACCTGAGTGCACCCCTCACCATCAGCATGTCTTACCCCTTCTAGAACCTGAGTGCACCCCTCACCATCAGCATGTCTTACCCCTTCTAGAACCTGAGTGTACCCCTCACCATCAGCATGTCTTACCCCTTCTAGAACCTGAGTCTTCCCCTCACCATCAGCATGTCTTACCCCTTCTAGAACCTGAGTGCACCCTTCACCATCAGCATGTCTTCCCTCTTCTAGAACCTGAGTGCACCCTTCACCATCAGCATGTCTTCCCTCTTCTAGAACCTGAGTGCACCTTTCACCATCAGCATGTCTTCCCCCTACTAGAAACTGAGTGTACCCTTCACCATCAGCATGCCTTACCCCTTCTAGAACCTGAGTACACCCCTCAACATCAGCATGCCTTACCCCTTCTAGAACCTGAGTACACCCCTCAACATCAGCATGTCTTCCTCCTAGAACCTAAGTACACCCCTCAACATCAGCATGTCTTCCCCCTTCTAGAACCTGAGTGCACCTTTCACCATCAGCATGTCTTCCCCCTTCTAGAACCTGAGTGCACCTTTCACCATCAGCATGTCTTCCCCCTTCTAGAACCTGAGTGCACCCTTTACCATCAGCATGTCTTCCCCCTTCTAGAACCTGAGTGCACCTCTCACCATGTCTTCCCCTTTCTAGAATCTGCGTGCACCCTTCACCATCAGGCTGTCTTCTTCCACAAAACCTGAGTGCACCCCTCACCATCTATCTTCCCTCTTTTACAACCTGAGAGAGCCCCTCATCATCAGATTTTTTTTTTGTCTTTTCCTTCCACAGAACCTGAGTGCACCACTCACCATCATACTGTCTTCTTCACTTTTAGAACCTTGCACCCCTCACTACCAGACTCACCATCAGAGTGTCCTCCATATCTATAGGTTACACCAGAAAACACCCATGATCCATTCAGGGCTGGAGGAAAACAGTGGCTGCGGAACGTCTGCTCCTGTTGGGCTGATAGAGAGGAGAATTAGGGTATCACACATACTGGGGTTGAATTACTAAAACCAGGGAGTGTAAAATCTGGTGCAGCTGTACATGGTAGCCAATCAGCTTCTAACTTCAGCTTGTTCAGTTAAGCTTTGACAATAAAACCTGGAAGCTGATTGGTTTCTATGCAGAGCTGCACCAGATTTGCACTCTCAAGTTTTAGTAAATGAACCCCATAGTATGTTATTTATTTTATAACAATATTTTAACATATTACTGATGATAAAGTCTCAGTGTCGTTCACAAAGTCAGAGAATAAACAAAGATTTCTCATTGGATTTGAAATTCTTTAATACCACAATTTCCTATCTGAACTTAAATGTGCCCATAGATTTTACAGGGCAACAAATGAGCCCTCAGCCTGAGATCACCATAGAAGACCACATCAAAGAGTATGTCCCAACTGGCAGCTGTCACTTTTCTGAAAAAGAACACCAATGAAAATACATTTTTAATTTTTCTGATCTTGGTACTCATTTTAAGAATGGTCAGCTAGGGTTGTTTGAAGCTAACAAACATGAGATGGTCAACAATTCAAGCTAAAACTGGACAGACTGGATGAGACAATCATCATATACTGTATCTATATGAGGCCCGTCCTGTCCTCTGTCGAAAAACTTACACAGTGAGCTCCTTTGTAAAGTGGGGTGTCATGTGTAAAGAATTAAAAGCAAATAGATCCATAGATTAAAAGATGGTTAAATGAGATATATTTGGAAAACGACATTACTGTTATAGGAAAGATGTTGGGATAGAAAAAAGAATAAGAGAGGGCGCACTCTCCTCGTGCATTACTCGCTAAGGTGCAGCCCTCCAAAGATAGGGGAGTCTTGGTACTAGTAAAAAAAAAAAGAATAAGAGAGGGCGCACTCTCCTCATTCATTACTGTGATACAAAGAAATTTATTGTGATAAAAACAAATAGATATTTGCAAACCAATAGGTCATAAAAACAGAGAGAGACACAACTGACGGTCCCAAGTAGCAGGAATCCTGTAGTGGAAAGTGCTAACACTTTTCGGGAGTCGAGCTCTCTTCCTCAGAGCTCAGAGGAAGGATCGAAAGCAGAATGTCAAAAGTGCTTGAACCTTGGCTATGGGGCCTCCAAAATTATAGCGAAGTAAAACAGCCTATTGGTATAGCAGGATGGGCGTGTTGAATCCATGGAGTCCATGTTTGTAAGGAATCTCTCATGGGTATCTGAAAGAATGCTAGAGGTTTTCATTAACCAGAAAGGAATCTAGGTGGCGATGGACTTCCGTAAAGGATATGAACTGTTGTTTTCGCTCTTTCTATGGTTTGTTTAGCTGCCAGTAGAACGTATGTAGCCATCTTGAATTAGTGTTTTGTAAGGCCCGGGGGTTTCAGGTGTAGAAGAACATGCCACAGGTCCCTTGGGAATGGGCAAGCTAATAATGAATGCAGGAGCTTAAGGACCTTTGAAGGATCATTCTTTCAACTGAAAATTAACATCAGTGTAAAGTTAAAAAAAACTTGTCCGGATGTCAACGAAGGTCTACATACAGTGTCCAAAATTGGCCCTTGCTTTCCTGCTCCATCAACAGTGGATGTACCAATAACGCCTTCTCTTGTGGGCATGAAGTCTCAGCAGTACAATGGCCATAACCATGAATAAGCCTGCCAGTGCAGACATCTTCTCTACAAAGCACACAAAGGAAACTTCCAAGTGATAAACAAGAAGTGATCTGACAGGAAAAGCGACTCAGAAGCATTGTCTTGATGAAAATTAAGATCCTTGCAATTGAAATGACCCCCCAAAAAAGGAATAAAATTTGCATCTTAAATGGATCCAGAAATGCCTTAAAGTGGATGCAGGAATGCATGCAGAACAGATCTGTAGGACCTTTTTGTGGTGTGAACTGGCCCTTAGTCAGGAATTTCCTTGGCTGCATTATTTGAAGAACCTGAGAGCAGTCCTCAATGTTAGGCCATCTTCTCCCTTCTCATAACCTGAGCGAACCACTCAAAATCCAACTGTCATCTCCATCTTTGGAATCTGAGTGTGCCACAAAACATCAGGCTGTCTTCCCCTCAGAACGTGTGCGCATCCCTCAGTACTCGGATTCTCAGATTTGGGAGTAGAAGCCTTTCCCCCAATAACTTCTCCTAAACCCCAGCCTACGAGGGGATACTGAGAGGTAGATTTATTAAAACTGGTGCAGCTGTGCAAGGTAGCCAATCAGCTTCTGACCTCAGCTTGTTAACCACTTGGCCGCCGCCCTATAGCAGAAATACTGCTACAGGGCAGCAGGGGTGCGCAAAATCGTGTATATATACGTGATTTCGCATTTCCCGGTAGGAGTCATGCGCGGGCCGCGCGCACGCCCAACCTGCGCCGCTGTACTGGCCAAGGCTGTTAATCACCGGGTCCTGTCCGGTGATTACTTGCCAGCACCCGGTGATTGCCAAGTATTATCAACAGAGGAGAGAACTGTATGTAAACAGTACAGCCCATCAGCTCCTGCACACTGCTTTGTATGGCTCTGCATAGCAGAGCCATACATAGCAGTGTGCTCACAGTTGAAAGCACACACACAGCTTACTTTGAAACAGCACACAGTTAACCCTTTGATCGCCCCACACATGTTAACCCCTTCCTGCCCAGTGCCATTAGTACTGATCACTGTATTGGTGTCACTGGGGATATCAGTGACACCAAGTCAGTTCCCCCCCAGTGTCAGAATACCCACTGCAGTCCCACTATAAGTCGCTGATCGCCGCCATTACTAGTAAACATAAAAAATAAAAATTCCAGTATATATACCGCCATTCTTAAACTCTATAACCTTCACGTCAACCAATTAACTTACACATATTGGCATTTTTTTTTAGCAAAGACACGGAGCAGAATACATTTTGGCCTAAATTTATGATGAAATTTTATTTTTTTAATTTTTTAGTGGACATGTACAATAGCAAAAAGTCAAAAATACTGTTTTTTTTCCTCAAAATTGTTGGCCTTTTTTTTTTCAATAGTGCAAAAAATAAACACACAGGGGATCAAATACCACCGAAAGAAAGCTCTATTCGTGGGAAAAAAAGGACGTAAATTTATTTTGGGTGCAGCGTTGCATGACCGCGCAATTGTCAGTCAAAGTAACGCAGCGCCATAATGCAAAAAAATGGCCTGGTCAGGAAGGGGGGGTGAAACCTCTGGAGGGCAAGTGGTTAAATTAATCTTTGGCTCTAAAATCTGGAAGCTGGTTTCTATGCAGAAGTGAGTTTGATTTTGCACTCTCCAGCTTTAGTAAATAAACCCCTGAGGCAGGGGTGGACTGACAACTCATGGGGCCCCCGGGCAATAGGGGATCATGGGGCCCCTGTGTCCTTGCCAAAACTCAAAACAACCTATGAAAAAGGTACCAGGGGCATCTCATGGGGCCCCCTACTGACCCCGGGCCCTCGGGCAGTGCCAGAGTTTCCAAATGGTCAGTCCGCCCCTGCCCTGAGGGTCATATGAAAAGGGAAGGCAGCACAAATGAAACCCCCAGAGGAGGCCATTTTGTATGTAATATCTAAGTGTGGAGGGGAAGACTTGACAGATTAGTGAATACAAAGAGAGCTGCAGGAGTGATTTCAGCGAATTTCTTTAGGTCTTACCGAACTCTATTCAGCATTCTTGATTAACTTGAAGCTGCCATATGTATTTTCTCTAAAATATACATCAACACTTTAGTGCAAGATGTCTTGTTTGGTTTCATGCCCCTGGTGATGTCTCCATAAGAGGAAAATTCCTGGAATGAGTCAGGTCTTCTGACCTTCATGGAGATTTCTCAACTCATGTCAAGCCCCATATAACAATTCTGTGCAACCAAAGGAGTGCACTAAAAATATACACGTGACAATACAGAGTGGAGTCACACACGAAGAGCATCCCTCCACTGACTTTGAGGTGACAACATACATTTTTAGGATTTACCTACAGACACCGAAGCTTCAAGAACTGCAAGACGAGCCTCCTTCAGACCGAGACCCAGATAACTGGAACAACAATAGCTTTATTACTATCAGCAAAGTCCTGTAAAGGGAGAGGACTCACGGCACAGAAGACCCACCTACGTGTGTAGAGGCGATATGTGCTATTGAACAGCTCAAAGGAAGCCAGCGACTCCTGTGGAGTCTCATCTAATGTAGCCTGAAAAGATCAAAAAAGATAAAGGACCAATCTACTAAAGAGAGGCAGACAGTGGTCAGTGTTGTACATACAGAGTCACAGTGCTGGAGAGAAATACAAACTTACTTTGTTAAGAGGAAGAAAGGTGATCTGTGTAGATGCTCCACCCAAATCCAAAGTACCCACACTATGATCTCCGTGTAACCGACCTAGAGGGTAGCAGAGATTATAGCTGGTGCACACAGTGACCTGACTGAACCCCCACCTACCCTACATACAGACATACTGGCCAGACTGTACCCCCACCTACACTACACACAGAAGCAGTGACCCGACTGTACCCCCACCTACACTACACACAGAGGTAGTGACCCGACTGTACCCCCACCTACGCTACACACAGAGGTAGTGACCCGACTGTACCCCCACCTACGCTACACACAGAGGTAGTGACCCGACTGTACCCCCACCTACGCTACACACAGAGGTAGTGACCCGACTGTACCCCCACCTACGCTACACACAGAGGTAGTGACCCGACTGTACCCCCACCTACGCTACACACAGAAGTAGTGACCCGACTGTACCCCCACCTACGCTACACACAGAAGTAGTGACCCGACTGTACCCCCACCTACTCTACACACAGAAGTAGTGACCCTACTGTACCCCCACCTACGCTACACACAGAAGTAGTGACCCGACTGTACCCCTACCTACGCTACACACAGAAGTAGTGACCCGACTGTACCCCCACCTACGCTACACACAGAAGTAGTGACCCGATTGTACCCTCACCTACACTACACACAGAAGTAGTGACCCGACTGTACCCCCACCTACGCTACACACAGAAGTGGTGACCCGACTGTACCCCCACCTACGCTACACACAGAAGTAGTGACCTGACTGTACCCCCACCTACGCTACACACAGAAGTAGTGACCCGACTGTACCCCCACCTATGCTACACACAGAAGTAGTGACCCGACTGTACCCTCAGCTACGCTACACACAGTAGTGACCCGACTGTACCCCCACCTACATTACACACAGAAGTAGTGACCCGACTGTACTCCACCTACACACAGACATACTGACCTGACTGTTCTGCCATCTACACTATGCACAGACCTATGGAGCCAACTGTACCACCCACCTATATTACATGCAGACATACTGACCCAACTGTACAATCCATCTAGATTACACAGACAGACACAAAATATACTGACCTGACTGTATCTCCCATCTACACTATATGCACAGACATACTGAGCCAACTGTACCACCCGCCAACACTACACACTGACATACTGAGTCAATTGTACCACCTACACTACACGCAGACATACTGACCCGACTGTCCTTCCCTCCAACACACACGCACACACTGACTCGACTGTACCCTCACCTAGACTACACAGACATACTGACTCAAATGTACCCCCACCTACACTACACACACACACACACTTACACCATGCACAGAGACCTGTCCATATCCTCCACTTACACCATAACCAAGGAGGTATCCTAATGGGTTTACCTGTCAGAAAGTTTACAGTGATCCAGGCCAATATTCCTAAAAGAGAAAAAAAAACACAAGTGACAAAAAGAATCCAGTGAGAACCCTGAGGGGTGGTACCTTTTGTCTACAATGTGTACAATCCCATTCTATAAAGAACAAAGCAATGTTCTGCAGATCTCTAGAGAGGAAATTGATCGAATAATCTGCAGAGTATATCAATGAGACTCTGTTCACACATGAGCGTTTTTCAGCTCAAAGCTCGACGCTCAAAAATGCTCAAGTAAAATCCTATTATTTCCAATGGCCCTTGTTCACACTTGATCGTTCTTTCGCCTGTAGCAAAATGCCTATCCCTCAAAAAAGTACTTGCGCTACTTTTCGGGCAGATCTGTGTATTGTCCCCATAGACTTGAATAGAAAATGTCTGAACAGTGGAAATGTACGTTTTTTTCAGGCGTTTTCAGCTCAAACAGCAGCTATTTCTATTGGCCACAGCAAAAACACCTGAATGAAAAATGCCTATAATATTTACATAGTTAGTCTGGCTAAAAAAGACAAAGGTCTATCCAGTTCAACCATTAAAAAAAAAAAAGTTATAATCCTACACCCACAGTTGATCCAGAGGAAAGCATAAAAAACCCAGCAAAGAATGATCCAATTTGCTCCTGCAGGGGGAAAAAATTCCTTCCTGATCCCCCGAGAGGCAATTGGAAATTCCCTGGATCAGCTTTACCTATAAATGTTATATCCAGTTATATTCTGTGTATCCAAGAAAGAATCCAGGACTTTTTTTTAAAGCAATCCACTGATCTGGCCACAACCAACTCTTGAGGGAGTCTATTCCACATTTGCACAGCTCTCACTGTGAAGAAACCTTTCCGTGTTTGGAGATTAAATCTCTTTTCCTCCAGACGTAAAGAGGGCCCCCTTGTCCTCTGTGATGACCTCAAGGTGAATAACTCTACACCGAGTTCACTATATGAACCACTGATTTGCAGATCTGCTCAAAAAAAACGCTCAAAGACGGCTGAAAAAATGCTTGAATAGAACTCATGAAAAAGCTCAGCCCAGTGTGAATGGAGCCTAAATATTGATCAGAGAGTAGTTGGAACAGAGTAATGTTCTGCAGCTCTTTAGAGGTCAGTGATAAAATAATCTGCAGAATATATGTAAAAATGTGTTGGTGGTGTCTGCAGATTGTTCACATTGGCCAAAGTGTCTGTTTCTGTATTGTGATATTTGTGCATTTTTACCTTCATCGGTTCCATCCAGAATGGTGACGCTGTTCTCCGGTACTAGAAAAGGAGAGGAGTTGAAGACTTTCCTCACCTAAATAAGAGGAAAATGAGACTTGTTCATGACCTATAAAAAAACATTCCAACCATTCACTCACCTAAGCCATGTACCCAGACCACTTAATCAAGCCATGTACCAAGACCACTTAACCAAGCCATGTACCCAGACCACTTAACCAAGCCATGTACCCAGACCACTTAACCAAGCCATGTACCCAGACCACTTAACCAAGCCATGTACCCAAGCCATGTACCCAGGCCACTTAACCAAGCCATGTACCCAAGCCATGTACCCAGGCCACTTAACCAAGCCATGTACCCAAGGCATGTACCCAGACCACTTAACCATGCCATGTACCCAGACCACTTAACCATGCCATGTACCCAGACCACTTAACCAAACCATGTACCCAGACCACTTAACCAAGCCATGTACCCAAGCCATGTACCCAGACCACTTAACCAAGCCATGTACCCAGACCACTTAACCAAGCCATGTACCCAGACCACTTAACCATGCCATGTACCCAGACCACTTAACCAAGCCATGTACCCAGACCACTTAACCAAGCCATGTACCCAGACCACTTAACCAAGCCATGCACCCAAGTGACAAACTCAAGCCGTGTACCCAATGCACATATTCAAACCATGTACCCAGGCTACATACCCAATCTATATATAAAAGACACACACTCAGGCCAGGTAACCAGGCACACATATTTAGACTGTGTACCCAGGTCATTCATCCCCTTCCCTAACCACATAACAGATAGGGGTTGATTTGCTAAAACTGTAAAGTGCAAAATGCATTCAGAACATACACCCCCCTTCCCAGCTATGTACACATGTCATGTACCCAGGCTATATACCCTGGCCTTGCATCCCCCTCTTGCTATGTACTCGCCTTACCTCGGAGAGTAGGCCTTCAGCCTGGTGTACAGGAAGCAATCGGAAGCCAGCAGTAGCTTTCAGTATCAGAGGAGTTTTCTGCCAGTGAGAAGATGGGACAGCATCTTGTGCCAGCTGAAGCAAGGAAAGCACAGCATCTGCACCCTGTAAAAAAAATGACATTTTATTTCAAGGAAACTCATCTTTCTGCTCTAGTAATGGATTTATTTCACATAGTTTTTGTAGATATTCCAACCTTTACTAAACATAATCTGCTAACATTTTAGGTCAAATGGATATTAACCATGAGATAAATTGGAGTTTCACTTGTGCTAGCAATTCCGAGAATTGTTAAAGGCTATTTTCGGGATGAAATGTGGTTTTTTTTTTTTATTATACTGCTTTTTTTTTTCTTATGTAATATACCTTTTTTGGGATTACTATGAACTATGTTAATTACTAGCCTTAAAAGCTTGCAAAAAAAATGAAATCTTCAGAACAATTTGTTCCCACAGGTATTAAAAATATAGCTTTGATTGAAAATTACCAGGAGTCCTTTGTTCCTGTGAAAAGAAAGGCATGGTTTGTAAACCCAGGAAAATTCTTACTGCCAAGTACAAATAAATCTTAGTACTGAAGGTAAAGACTGATCTTAAAAACAAACAATAGGCGGTATTGAATTCACAAAAAGGAATGTTCATACATACAATTGTGCTCAAATGTTTGCACACCCGTAAAATGTTGGCAATTATATTGAAAAATATGACCGATCATGCCAAATACTGTCTTTTATTTAAAGATAGTGATCATATGAAGCCAAGACAGGTGGAGCTGCAGGTACGTGGTGAGTGTGGGAGCAGTACTGAGTCAGGGGAAAAACTGAGGCACTGTGAGTAAAGTATTGGGTGTGCTGCTGGAGTTCTGGGAGTAACTTGGAATACTGGGAGAAATTTAGGAGTAACTGAGTACTGGGAGTGTTTTTGGAGTATATCGGAGTACTGAGAGTGTTTCTGGAGTAAGTACTGCGAGTGGTTCTGGAGTAACTCAGAATACTGTGAGTGTTTTTGGAGTATCTTAGAGTACTGAGAGTGTTTTTGGAGTAACTCAGAGAACTGGGAGTGACTTTGAGTAACTCAGGGTGCTGGGAGTATTTTGGAGGAACTTGGAGTACTGGGAGGAATTTGGAGTAACTAGGAGTAATTTGGAGTACTGGTAGTAATGTTTGGAGTTATTTTGAGTACTGGGAGTTAACAACAAATTATATACAGAAGGAGGTGAGGGGGTAAAGGAGAAAAAAAAACCACAAAAAACACATTTTTTACTGGAATATCCCCATTAGGTAGAGGGTAAAATGTCCTTGTATACGTTCCTTGAAGAACCATTTGAAGGTGAATACTACTGTGCAAGATGTGAGCTAGTTGTTTCTCTGGAAGCCCAGATCTTGGATCTTGAGAATCATGTGGCAACACTGTGAAGCATCAACAACCTGGAAAGGAGCTTTATCCAGCAGGTGCTAGTGGGGGCTAGTATAGGGGGAGGAGGGGATAGGGAGGTGCAAGAGCCAGAGGTTGGTAGCTGGGTGACAGAAGGAAGGGAAGAAGGAAGAGCCATAGAGATGCTAGTCCTGAGTTGGTACATCCCAATAAATACAGGTGAAACTAAAAAAATTTGAATATTGTGAAAAAGTTCATTTATTTCAGTATTGCAACTTAAAAGGTGAAACTAATATATGAGATAGACTCATTACATGCAAAGCAAGATAGTTCAAGCCGTGATTTGTCATCATTGTGATGATTATGGCTTACAGCTCATGAAAACCCCAAATCCACAATCTCAGAAAATGAGAATATTGTGAAAGGTGCAATATTCTCGGCTCAAAGTGTCCCACTCTAATCAGCTAATTAAGCCATAACACCTGCAAAGGGTTCCTGAGCCTTTAAATGGTCTCTTAGTCTGGTTCAGTAGGAATCACAATCATGGGAAAGACTGCTGATTGGACAGTTGTGCAGAAAACCATCATTGACACCCTCCATAAGGAGGGAAAGCCTCAAAAGGTAAAAGAAGTTGGATGTTCCCAAAGTGCTGTATCAAAGCACAAAGCAATAGAAAGTTATGTGGAAGGGAAAAGTGTGGAAGAAAAAGGTGCACAAGCAGCAGGGATGACCGCAGTCTGGAGATGATTGTCAGGAAAAGGCCATTCAAAAGTGTTGGGGACTTTCACAAGGAGTGGACTGACGCTGGAGTCAGTGCATCAAGAGCCACCACACACAGACAGATCCTGGACATGGGCTTCAAATGTTGTATTCCTCTTGTCAAGCCGCTCCTGAACAACAAACAACGTTAGAAGTGTCTTACCTGGGCTAAAGAAAAACAGACCTGGTCTGCTGCTCAGTGGTCCAAAGTCCTCTTTTCTGATGAGAGCAACTTTTGCATCTCATTTGGAAACCAAGGACCCCAAGTATGGAGGAAGAATGGAGAGGCCCAAGGACCCAGAGTATGGAGGAAGAATGGAGAGGCCCAAGGACCCCGAGTATGGAGGAAGAATGGAGAGGCACAAGGACCCCGAGTATGGAGGAAGAATGGAGAGGCACACACTGCAAGATGCTTGAAGTCCAGTGTGAAGTTTCCACAGTCTGTGTTGATTTGGGGAGCCATTTCATCTGCTGGTGTTGGTCCACTGTGCTTCATTAAGTCCAGGGTCAACGCAGCCGTCTACCAGGAGATTTTGGAGCACTTTATGCTTCCTTCCTCAGACAAGCTTTATAGGGATGCGGACTTCATTTTCCAGCAGGATATGGCACCTGCCCACAATGCCGAAAGCACCAAAACCTGGTTCAATGACCGTGGGATTACTTTGGTTGACTGGCCAGCAAACTCGCCTGACCTGAACCCCATAGAGAATCTATGGGGCATTGCCAAGAGAAAGATGAGAGACATGAGACCGAACAATGCAGAAGAGCTGAAGGCCGCTATTGAAGCATCCTGGTCTTCCATAACACCTCAGCAGTGCCACAGGCTGATACCTTCCATGCCACGCCGCATTGAGGCAGTAATTACTGCAAAATGAGTCCAAACCAAGTACTGAGTACATAGGCATGCTTATACTTTTCAGAGGTCCGATATTGTTCTATGTACAATCCTTGTTTTATTGATTGCATGGAATATTCTCATTTTCTGAGATTGTGGATTTGGGGTTTTCATGAGCTGTAAGCCATAATCATCACAATGATGACAAATCACGGCTTGAACTATCTTGCTTTGCTGAGTCTATCTCATATATTAGTTTCACCTTTTAAGTTGCATTACTGAAATAAATGAACTGGGTGAGGGTACAGGCAAGGTTAGACAAATACTGGTGGCAGAAGGCTCAATTATTAGAAGGACAGATAGGGCAATCTGTCACAAAGATCGCGATCGCCGAACAGCATGTTGTTTACCATGGCATTGGGAACCCTAAAGCCTAAGTTTAGCTAAAATCAAAAACAGAAAAATCAGTAAAAGAAACATAACTTACAGGTACTATGATGTGACCCTTGTGCTGAATCTTCTTCTTTTAGGAGAAATTTTCCTCCATACAATCTACAACAGCATTATTCATTCACTGAGATCTGTGAATGAATAAACTACAAGTCCCCGTGGCAGAGCGATATGTTGTTATCAATGAAACACAAGTGTTGTGATCGCCACACATGTAGTCCATCGACACTTCCTGCAGTCCTGTAAACAGAGGTCCACACTTCGTTATGAACCAGCAGCAGCATGAAGATTCTGCAGGAGTGTGTATTGCACCTACAATACACTGATCGCAGCTGCAATGCATTGCATATATACATATACACACATACATACATACATGCACACACATACATACATGCACACACACACACACATACATACATACATGCACACACACACATACATTTTTCCCTGCAAGTATTAGTGCATCCATTTTTATTTTTTTTCTGCAAAAAGGTGGACTTAGCCTTTAAGGGTTTTAAAGCTGTTCTTCAGTCCTTCAGTTCTTAATTTAAAAGTTAGCAGCTACAAATGCTGTAGCTACTGACTTTTAATAAAGGACACTTACCTGTCCAGGAATCCAGCATTGTCCTCACCTGAGCCAATTCTTTACCGATCTTTGGGTCCCCAGCACCACCATGTTAACTGTGGGAAGCAGGTTGTGAATCTTCGTGGTTTCACAACCAGCTTTCCACGGGAACTTCCACCCGGATGACCTAGTTAATATGGGCGGAAGTAGAAGCAGGTACCTGTAAAAAAAAATAAAGAAATATCCAAACGTTGAAGAGAAGGGGGGGGGGGGGCAGTAAAGTGCAACTTCCCCTTTTGGGTGATGTACTGCTTTAATAGCTGAATTATCCAAAGTACAGGAAGAGATTCAGCTTGCTTAAATATGATGGGATTTTTAGACTCATTAGGTTTTCCCTCAATCTGTATGAAACACTATCTGCCATTCTGTGGGCAGCTGGATATGCACTTTTTTGTGTGATCAAAGTCATTTTAACCTTTTATCCTCTCAGGTAAAAGGTTAACGTGTTTATGAGCACATTAGAAAATGGAATTCATTCTCAGACATTCCATTCTTTACTAACCACATGACTTTTTATCTGCTAAATTTTAGCTCAATTGGACGTTAGTCGTGAGAGAAATGGGTGTTTCACGTATGTCAGCATTTCCAAGAATTAAGGTGGTTGTAAACCTTTACATATACCCAGTGAAGTGACTGGCCTCAGGTGATACACAGAGATGAAACAAATCCTCCTACATAAGTTATACCTATATATCTTTAGCCCGCTCTTCTCTGCAGCTTTCTAAAGTACACATTTTACACAACATTAATGAGCTCCAGAAGGTAGGGGATGGGGATTTGATGTCTCAAAATGCACAGCAAAGAGCAGGGGGTGCTTCAATTTTTTTTTAATGTTATTACTTATTTAAAAAAAGAAATGTTGACACTTTCTAAATTTTTTTCTTTGATCAAATTAGTTGCCATCACAAGGCAGCATGGGCAGTGACATGTACTCTTTACTGAGAGATCTGGGATCTATTAGACCCCAGATCTCTCTTCTGCCTTCAAAAGCGTTTGGTAACACAGAGAGTAGTTTAATCAGATGCTTCACAAGCCAGTAACAGCTTGTAAACATTGAACT